AAGTGCATTTTTGCATCCTCATCTTATCCTAGGCATTCCAAGGCCATGATTAAGACACCACAATAAGAATAAGAGTAGAAATACACTAAGAACAAGTGAAATAAGTTATGTACGATTCAAACGAGTGTTTCAGGTGTGTATTTATTGTGTGTTATTGTAGGTCACGTGTCGTAAACCGTTTGATTAGTCTGCTCCGTCTGTCTACACCGAAGGCAACAGTGAGTAATAACTTAGTAAAGCTATGTTCAATTTTATTTATTTTCTGTATGATGAATTAAGATCTATTTTTCTAAAATGATATGTTTTGTACAATGAATGATTGTCCAATTTATGATAATGTATTCATGGTATCCTTAGCATCATGTGATATCTGTTAGTTGTTACCCGGTATTAGAGGTTCCGTTATGGAGCTTAATATGTCTGTACTCTATTACCCGTACCGGAGGCTCCATCATGGGGCTCAGCATGTTTATTCTCTACTACCCGGATCCGGAGGTTCCTTAATGGAACTGGTTATTCATAACCACTACATGATTTGCATATGTTCTGTATCTGCTTCGTTAGCTCTAATGGATGTACTACGTATGATTAAACATGAATTATGACTTCTGTATATGATCTGAACAAGAATACGAATATGAATCTGAATTATGATTTCTGAATCTGTATAGACTTCATTCATTAAAACCCATTTACTCCGTTATTATTCACTGGGCTTCCGTTCACTATTTTATATTATGTATGTAGGTGAGTAGGCACATGACCAGGCCCACGGTTGATGGCCTACGTTTCAGTTTTTGTCAGCCAACCTTTGTGTCTCCCAAGGAGGTTCCAGATAAAGTCAAGTTTTATGGTTGTTTTTGTAATCATAATAGACTTGGTATATTTTGTTAAGTCTTGGGCATGGTGACTAACATTATACTCCTAGGAGTGATATGTAAATATTGTATCTTTTGACATCACTCGTAAGTCTATAAAAGTTTTAAATTATACGTATCATGTATGTCCCCACAGCTCAATAGACCACTTATATTTTGTATATTAGCTTCCGCAGCCCCTAAATATATATTAATCTGTCAAGAGGCCTCTGGTAATCCAAGGATTACTGACCGGTTACGATGCTAAACCCATAGGGACAGGTTTGGGTCGTGACAGCCCACCAATTAGCTTCCTTTGCTTTCTTGAGTGTTTCAGGTGAAGTTCAACCAAGTTCATGCCGAAGCGTAGCCACAGTCAAGGTGATTCAATTTTTTCCCACTACATTTGGTTATCCAAAAAATAAGTGTACATTTTTGTTTAGAATTGTAATATTTAATAGAAATTGAGGCCCTATTTCACATATTAGTTTTTGTAAAAAAAAAGAAAAAGAAAAAATTTAAAAGTCAAAATATATTTGATATGTACAATAAATAAATAAATCTAAATCTTTGTACTAGTTTAAAAAGATCAAACTACTCTCATGAGTGTTTACATCTTTGGAAAAATAAAATAAAAATTTAAACAAAAAATAAAAATATGACATTAGCCATTCATATTTTTTCATACATGTGAAAAAAAAGAAGAAAATAATAAATACATTGATAGTCCCTGCATTTTATAGAGTAATACTAGAGACTCACTCATTATATTCATAAATTCACTCACAATGATATGATATGAGAGTTGGATCCACCATCATTAAGTATATAACAAATTAAAAATTAACACATATACTGTCACATCATTGTAGGGAGAATTGTGAATACTTTTTGAGGATTTCAAACATTTTCTTTTTTGATATTGTGTTAATTTGATCTAATTATAATGATATTAGGATTTTTGACGAAAAATGATTATTGAGTTAGTTGAAGTTAACTCACTGAATTGATAAAGTTTATAATTTTGCCTATAAAAACATTACGAGTAATTCTATACAAATATAAAATTTATACATAATTTTCATACATGATGTGGCTCATTGTGGACCTTTCATTTTAAAACAAAATATTATTAAATATAAGTTTTTTTATAATAATGGTATTGCCACATCATTCTTATTAAACTTTTTAGATAAATTTTATCTATGTTTAGAATTTTTCAAGTATTACATATGTCATGTGAACATTTTTTACAAAAAAAAAAAAACTATTCAGTGTGTTTGGTTTGAGTTTTCTGGATTAAGTTTTTTGAAAACTGAGTTTTTTGGTTTTCGTATTCTTTTGTTTTTAGTGAATATTTTTTAAATTTTAAACAATTTTTTTTTTTTACTTTTTTAGATGCACCTTAGTTAGATGTATCTAAAAAGTAAATCGACAAGTTTTGAAAAATGTTTTCAAGTGCATTTTTGCATCCTCATCTTAGCCTAGCCTTAGTTAGATGTATCTAAAAAGTAAAAATTTTGTGAAAAAATATTTTAAAAAATTAATAAATACATAAAAATATAAAAAATGTACTGAATTCTTGTATTTTTTTTTTTTGTATTTTTGGTATTTAGTGAATTTTTAAAAGATTTTTTTTATAATTTTTTTACTTTTTAGGTGTATTTATGTTAGGTGTGTCTAAAAAGTAAAAAAAAAAATTGTTTAAAATATTAAAAAAAATCAGTAGAAACAAAAAAATACGAAAAATAAGAAAGTAGAATTTTCTAAAAAATGAAAACAAGCAAGCTGTTTAACGGTTGTAATCAATTAAGCCTCCGTTTGGGAAGTGGGTTGGCTTTTTGGCTTTTTGACTTTTTTAGCTATTTTAGCCTGGGCTAAAAAGTTTGGTTTGGGAAGGGCTTTTTGGCTTTTTGATTTTTTTGACTTTTTTTTTAGAGAAGAATGTAATGATTATGGGTTGGATGTGATATTTTGTTCTTTGTGATTAAAATAGCCTATTTTGTCTTTTGTGGCTAAAATAGCCAAAAAAATCCCGTTTAGCTCTTGCCAAACGGAGATAAAGTAAATATTAAAATTAAAAGTTGAAACTAATTAAAATTATAAGGTCCAAAATGATAAAAAAGATCCAAAATATAATAATTAGTGGTGTAATTTGTCTTGAAAAAAATTTATTCCTAAACCATTTTTTTTTAATTTCACAAAAAAAAAAAATTGAAAACGCACTAGACAAATTTCAAAAAGCTGTTAAGACCCAAGTAAGTTAAAAATTGATTTTTTTAAATTTTTTTAAAGTTTTTTAAAATAATATACAAAATAATAAAAAATAATATGATTTAAGAAAACTAAAACACGAAAAAATTGACATTTAACTAATACCTAATTATAAGGTCATTTGTATGTAAAAGAATGAAGACAATGTTTTAATATTTCTGAATAAAATTCTCCTTTTTTTTTTAATTATCAAAGTTGAGTAAAAAATTGAATAAAAATTTCATTTGATATCAAGTTCTTGAACAGAGGATTTTGAGCTTTCAGCAAGACACCGATCGACTGAGCAAATGACCAGGCGAATGTTCAGCCGGTCGACGGGTCAATATATTTTTTTTACAAATTTTTACCTAGAGATGGTTATTCGGGGACATCTAGGGGACATCGGAGGTGAAAATCAAATGCTTATGAAAAATGATTTGATGAAAGCTTCCTGGCATTCTCAATTTGGTGAAAGATTTTTGATATTCTCGATTTAATATTCATTTGATAAAACTAAGAAAGAAGTTATTTTTTCATCAAATTTAAATTTGATGACAGAATTGATGAACTATTAGAAATAGTCTAATATGACTTGCTTTGAAAAGTAGGTTAAAAATTAACTTTTTATTTTTTAAAAAAAAACATGTTAAAAAATAAAAATTAACCAGCTTTTTTGGTTTTGGTTTTTAAAAAATAATTTTTAGAAAATTCTAATTTTTTATTTTTCATATTTTCATATTTTTAATGAATTTTTTTAATATTTTAAGTAATTTTTTTAATTTTTAGACATACCTAACATAAATACAGTTAAAAAGTATAATATTTATGAAAAAAAATTTAAAAAATTCACTAAATACCAAAAAAAAAATTCGTATTTTTATGTATTTATTAATTTTTTAAAATATTTTTTCATAAATATTTTTTTATTTAGATATATCTAAATAAAATACATTTAAAAAAATAAAAATATTATTAAAAATTTTAAAAATATTCACTAAAAATTAAAAAAAAAAATATAAAAAATAAAAAATTTAACTCAAAAAATAAAAACTAAACGTAATCTAAAAAAAATCAAAAATTAATTTTTAATCAGATTCCAAAACAGGCCTATGTATCCCTACTTATGCAAGTCATATGCTTTCTCTGTCTTGTTATCTTTTCGAAGCAATAAGACAGACAGTCTGCAGGTTGCTTCTCTCTTCCTCTTTCTTCAATTTTCTTTTTTAATAATTTCCGTTCCAACTTTTTAACACTCAACTGTCTTGTCTCAATGACTTTGTTTTCTCAAGTGTGCCCCCCTTCTACCCTAGCCTGTGTTTAAGGCTAGTTAGCCCTCTCTCTCTCTCTCTCTCCACTGGCCACAAAACAAACTTTGCAGGCTTTTTTTTTTCCTTTGTCAGAGCTCATCACAGAGAAGCTTTTGGAAACTTTTTCTAAAAAATAAGAAATTATTGAATATTACTTCACATAATTTATATTTTAAAAAATGTTCAGTTATCTTTTTAAAAAAGACAAATAAATAATTATTGTGTTTGATTTTAATTTTTTAAATCAATTTTTTAGAAATTAAATTTTTTATTTTTTATATTTTTATTGAATATTTTTTAAATTTTAAATAATTTTTTATTTTTTTAAATATATCTTATTTAGATGTATATAAAAAATAAAATATTTATAAAAAATCAATAAATATACAAGAATAAGAAAAATGTATCGAATTTTTATTTTTTTCATATTTTTGATATTTGGTGAATTTTAAAAATTATTTGTAATATAAAAAAATAAAAAAATAAATTTTAAAAAACTCAAGCGAAACAAATTAAATAGAAGTCATAATTTGAAGCGATATACTTAGGTCAGGACATTACTTAAATCTGTGCCTGGGATAATGAGTAATTTCTCCTAAGAAAACATACCCAACACACCAAACGAAGAATTAAAATCCAAAGACAGAGAGAGACTCACAAAACCACGCCCTTCTCTCTCTCTCTCTCTCTACATGGAATTCAATCTGAAGCAATGGAGATACCAACATGAGTCAGAAGAACAACCACCTTCTGCAAAGTTACCAAGACTTCTCCAACAACAACAGCAAGAGCAAGAACAAGACCACCACCCATCTGGGTCTGGGTCTGGGTCTGCTGCACTTCCATTGTTTGTAGTAGCTGCTGAACACACCCCCAAACTCACCGACCTGTCAGCAGCACTCCCATCTGCACCAGCTGATTCAACAACAATCACTTCTACCAGATTTCCCAGTTAGGCCTCTCTCTCTCTCTCTCTCTCTCTCTCATATGCTTTGTTTTGTTTGTGATACTTTCTCCTCAGTGAGACGAGACTCATTGAATGATGTTGTATGTCTTTGTTTGTTTGGTTTGTCTCTTGGGTAAGAAGAGATGGGAAGTTGTTACTTCAGCATGGGGCAGTGGCAGGAGCTTGAGCTGCAGGCATTGATATTCAGGCATATGTTGGCTGGTGCAACTGTTCCTCCTCAACTTCTTCACCATCTTCTACTCAAGAAAACTACAACCCCCCTTCTCAACACCATCATCTCATCCCTTCCTCCTCCTGCTTCATACTTCCTACATCACCCTCTTCAACACTACCATCCTGCTTGTAAGTTCTTTACTCTTTTTTTTTCCTTTTTAAATATTGTCACAATCAAGACAGAATCGCCTAATAAGGTGGGTTTTTGACCTACTAAATTTTGTCCCAAGTTAATTTTTTAAGTTCTTTGTTCAACATGTACTTTATGCTCTGAGGATTACCATTGTTATTATAGTTTGCTAGTGAAGTTTGTTTGTTTTGAACCCCATATATCTCCCACTTCCCATATTTGCATGCTTGATAGATAGATATGGTCACGAGCTTTACATGTTGAACTGAACAGTTCAGATTATAGATATGGTCACGAGCTTTACTGATATAAATTTAACGAAATTTACCTGAATCATGGGTACTTTTATCAATGTTCATTTGCATGCATTCTTAAATTGACTCTGCAATTGGGTCTCCATATGTACTTGAGATTTTTCAGATTAAGTTGTTAATATATATCTCTAGAGTCCACTTTTCACATGTTGGTTTGATTTGAATGTCACTCAGTATTGCAAACTGGAGGAGGAGGTTACTGGGGAAGAGGTTCGATGGATCCGGAGCCAGGTCGGTGCAGGAGGACAGATGGGAAGAAATGGAGGTGCTCAAGGGATGTGGTTGCTGGACACAAGTATTGCGACCGCCACGTCCACCGTGGCCGCAACCGTTCAAGAAAGCCTGTGGAAATCTCCACAACCTCACCCTCCTCCTCCTCCACTCCTTCTGCTAGTGGTTCTAATGGTGTTTCTCATGGCGGCGGCAGTGGCGGCAGTGGTGGTGGAAGAGGAGGAGGAGTTCCCCAAATGAACACTGCCCTTGCTTCCCACCACACCCTCTCTGGTGGAACCCATTTTGATCTTTCAAGGCCTTCCCCTCTCATTGATCCCTTCCACCTCAATCAAAGGTTATAATATTCTCTCTCTCTAATGAATTTGAGACATTGAGGTTTGTTACAGCATTTTAATGCTTCTGCCATTGGTTGTGAAAAAATAACTTGGTTTCATAAAATTAGTGCTTTAATATGTATCATTGCTCTAACCTAAAAAATGGCCAAGTCAAATCTTAATTCAAATTTGACTCCAGCTTTGTTTGCTGTGTGATAAAATAGCCCATTATCTTATTTGGATCACAATTATTTTATTTGAGTCATATCATTTTTTTACTCAATAATGTTAGGTATTATGAAAAAAATTTTATAAAAATAATCATGAAAGTTTTGTGACCCTTAGATTACACTTAGAATAAAGCACCACACACTAATCAAGGTAATCTAAAAATCATAAATTTTTCATGATCATTTTCATAAAAATATTTTCATGATCTCTAACTTTTCCTTTTTTTATTGCATCACTTCAAATTTATACTTTACGTTTTTTCGTAAAAAGAATACTAATCTAAGTACTTTCTAATCAATCCCCAAAGTTATTTGGAATATGTTATATAAATATATATATATATATATATATATTGGTCACATCACATTTTTATGTTTATGCATATTTTTTTTTTGTAAAAAATTAAAAAATATACTTATTTAGATATTTTAAACAATCCAAAAACATCTTACAAAAATGATTAAGAACTCTAAATTATAAGTTCTAGTGGAGGTCTAATTTATCTTTTTTTTCATGATAATTTATTTTTTTTCCTTTATTTTATTTTATTTTTTATTTTTACCCTATAGAACTCAATTTATAGTTCTACACCTAGTGCTGTCTATCACTGCAGTCATCTTATTATCAAAGATTAGATTTGATTGGGTTGGGTTAAAATCATTCCAATTTTCATGACTTTAACATAGGATAGTTTAATTTGATAAATCATTGTATCAAAAAGTTAAGTTTCCATTAAGGTAGTATAACGAAAAATTAGCCTTTGTGCAAAAACTATTATAGCTTTGACCAAATTGGAAATACTCTTAGGTTGAATTTTCAATAATTTTTATTTTTTTTTTCAAAAATAAAATTAAAAGTTGGGACAATTGCAAAAAATTGGTGTAAATCTAAAATAATTACAAAATGATGGAAGTATTAGTTACACAATTTAATACATGAATTGCTTGTACTTTATGACATTATTATTTAAAAAAAGAAAAGAAAAGTGAACGATGAATGAACTAAAAATAGATAACAAGCCAAGGTTGTTAAAAGGGGGATCCTACATTGGATCGTTAGAGGTGTTTATAGGATCGGATCGTAAGACCCTACTGAAAAAGGCAAATTACATAATAATTTAATTTAAATAAATATTTCTTAAAAAGTATACACAAAATTAGCCTATATTCTACTAAAAAGAAGTGAAGATACTGTGAAACATATAATACTCCATGTAAATGTAAATATAATATTACATAATAGAAAACTCGATTGTAAAAGTTTTGCATTTCATTAAAAAAGAAGATGAAGAAGAAGTATTTTATAATATAATACTTACAATATGCATAAAAAGTAAAGAAACAATATTTAACAGAGTCGGATATGAAAATAAATTGAGAAGTTAAAAAAGCGGCTTAATTGAATGATAAGATTTGTCATTAGCATCCCTTGTGAAGCGGGTTCAAGTCACGAAAATTGTCTCTCCAAAAATTAGGGTAAAATTGCAATCATTTTATCTTCCTTAGACCCCACTAAAGTTAAGTTTGTTTTCTCGATTACTTAGTTTTCTTAAATTGGTATTATATTTTTTTGGGTGAATAAAATTGGTATTATATTAAATGTTTGTTTCCTAATTTGTTTATTAGATTCAAACTATTTTTTTTTAATATTAATTTGGAGTACGTAAATTGATATTTAGATAACAAACATAAATTTTACAATAAAATAGATTATACAATATAAAACAAGGCTTACAAATTGGATCGGACAGGATCGGATTCGGATCAGGATCAGGATTCCACGATCCTATAAGATCCCATTATCAGGATCGAAAGATCCTACCTATAAGGGATTTTTTACACGATCCGGATCCATTGTGCCCAAATGGATTGTAAGATCGTAAGATCCGGATCGGGATTCTGATAATCATGACATCCAAACATACCCTAATTTTGTAATATATATATATTGGGTTTTCTGTCCATTTAAATGCTTGCCCTGAAGGGCAAAAGTAAATAAATAAAAATGTTATAGGTAAATTACACTCACCACCTTTTAGGTTTGAAGAAAAATAAATAATCCCACATTATTGACGTAATTATACTTTCCTTTTGGTAAGAGTAAAGTGACGGAAAACAATGCAAATGGTGAGTAGATATTGAAATAAATAAAGATAAATATATATTTTAGTATAAAAGAAATGACAATATCATTTTTTTCATTTATACAACTAATAAATTATAATTAAAAATTGACCTAATTGTTACATGAATTAAAATTTCAATGGAGTTCAAAAGTATTGGGTTAATTGTATCTTTAAAACTCAAGTAATAAGGTGAGTGTAATTTATCCAAACGTTCATAAAATATGGAAATTCACTCCAAATTTCATCTCCAAAGTAAGCGTGTGGTATAAATTTAAGGTTAATAAGATGTGGGGAGCGTGTGGTATAAATTTAAGGTTAATAAGATGTGGGGTACACGTACAACTAAATGTAGGCCATTGAATTTTCTTTTTATGAGTATTTTTTCTAATAAAACCTTAGTTACCGACGAGGGAAAAAAGAAAGAAAAAAGAAAGAGACAAAAGAAAGAAAATTAAAAAAAAAAAACAAGATTGAATGATTCAGGCCATTAGATAGCATATTTTGTTTGTTTTTGGTATTGGAGTGTAGTGGATGGGGGTGGGTCTTCTAACAAAGCAAAAGATTGTACTTTAGATTGTTATAATCTCATTGGGGGTCGTTTCGGCTACGACAAGGTCCTTGCTAGGTCCCCCCCATCCCCCATTTTGGAGCAGTTGTTCTGTGGTTTTGGATCACCAAGTCAACTTTGTTTCCAAATCACTCATGGTTAATTTCCAAGTCACATAGGAAAGAGTTTTATAATCCACCTTGTGAGGATTTCCAAATCACTCATGTGGGATTTGAGTTGACGTAGATTCCCTCCGGTCTATAATTTGGACGGGAGGGTGTTGTTTGGACCTATCGGATCTAACACGTGTTTGTTTCAATGATCTAAAATATTTATTTTGTCGGACACTTAATGTGACAAATAAATTAGATTGATTGGCTAAGCGTCCTCAAGTCACCGGAGGGAATTCACCTCCCACTTTTTTCTAATGTTCAATAATCATAAGTGATCAAGATCAAAGTTGAATGATAGGTGATTCTCTATTCTTAATTTCTTTCTTTTTTCTTTTTTCTTCTTCAAAATACTCATAATTGTTAAATTATATCTCAAGATTGTCATATTATCCAAAAATCCAGTGTTTTGGGGCATGGAACAACAATTTAAAGAGAGAATTCTGAGCCTTCTTTTGAGTCCAAACAACAATAGTGGCTTTACTTATGTCCTGCTTTATGTTTCCCCGCTTCTTTGCTCAATTTTTGGTACCATGATGTTCTTTGTAGATCCTCAGAATCAAGAACTGAAAACAAAGGTCTATTCAAAGCCCAAAATGAGGATGGCAAAACCGGTGCACAGGTTCTTCGCCATTTCTTCGATGATTGGCCAAGATCACTTCAAGAATCCAACAATGGCACGACGAATGCCAGCTCATCCACCTGCCTTTCCATTTGGACTCCTGGCAATCCATCCTCAGACTTCTCATTGAAACTGGCAACCGGGGATGGAGATGAGCCTGGAGGACATCATCAAGAAGGGAATGCTGAAAGAGAGCGGCCTCAATTGAATTGGACCGGAGGTTGGGGATCACACCAGGTGGCTCCGATGGGCGGTCCACTTGCCGAGGCATTGAGATCATCCATCTCCAATTCATCCCCGACAAGCGTATTACATCAGTTGCAGCCAAGTTCAACATCCGTGACCAGTTATGTCACCACCTGAATTTACTTACTATCTCAAAAAGAGAAAAAAAAAGAATGTTTTAATAAATTTTTGCTTATTTTCATACCTGTGTTGTAGGGTGAGGACTCTTTTCCTCTTCACTTGTTCTATATATTGTACGATGTGTTGTCGGATTTGTGTGACTTGACTAGACCATACCAGACCAATGTGTTTTGATCCAGAGGCTAGTAAGTAAAGACCCCTCTTCAATCTTCAATTGCCACCTCTCTGTTTGTGCACATTTCACTTTTGGTTGCTCATCTGGTTAATGCCTCTTTATAGTTTAAGGAAAGGAAAATACATTAAATCTCATAAATTTGACATAATTATATTATTTTATTTATTTATTTATTTACATTGATTTATATATATTTTGCACGCTCGAGTTCATGTTAGAGCATTTCTAAAGATTGTATCATTGGTCATGCCAACGTCAAAAAATAGCTTGGCTTCACAAAATTGGTGTTGTAATGGTGTGCCACTGCTTTAGTTAAAAAATGGTAAAACCAAACTTGGAGCTGAATTTAGTTCAAGGTTTGGCAAAGTCATCATGCTGCCAAATGAAGCCAAATGAAATAAAGAGAGAGATATAAGGGCAAAGTGCATCAAACGGCTAAAACCAAAAAAAAAAAAGAAGCAAAGTTAGCTGAATTTGACAAAGGATTGTATCAAATGACAAGTCTCCATTGTAATGATATCGCTAAAACATTGACTTTTGTACATTGTAACAAGCCAAAAAAATAGCTTTGACAAAGCTATTTTGGCTTGGATCATTGGAGATGCTTTATCATCAAAATTATAAAAAAAAATTGTGTTTTCTTCGAACCTCATGAGTAGTTAGTGTGACTTAACCCTCTTTTTTAAATTATTTTAAGCATGTGTCAAAATATTTGTTGCAATTTATGTTTATAATTTATGAAACAAAAATAACTTAAATAATTTTTTTTTCTTCTTAAAAAAAAAACTAATCATTTACAAATTGAGAGATAGGTATTTAACTTCTTGATTATTGACTTTCAACATGAGAAAAATAATACCATATGGACCCTAGTTCCAAATCAGCCATGGTTTTTTGGCTTGCAACTGGTGAGGGTGGGGACTAGGTGATTGCATTGTGTGATGGGCTAAGATTTGGAAGCATGGTGATGAAGAGAACAATGGCAACGCAATGATGGCTTTGGTGCAGTGATTGTGCTGTCGTTGTGTACGAGTTAGAAGCAGTGAGTGGGCGAGCCCAAGCCAGTGGTAGTGGCGTGTGGCGAAGGTTGTACTGATGGACTCTGGTGAACGAAAGGTAGAGATTAAAGAGAGGATTTTGTTTTACACCAGTGCACTAGTAAGCATGGTTGCCAAATCAAGAATCCAAACCGTATATCATTTTTCTATTTTTTCCCCAAATACTAATTCCACTAGAAAACACCATCATTTGCAAGGATTCACGCACAAGTACTAATTCCACAAGAAACACCATCATTTACAAGGATTCAAATGTAACATTTCGTGTGTGTGGCACATTGTCTCCCCAAAAACCATAGCGCCTGGAGATTATTTTCGGAAATGATGAAAGGAATATTTACAAGATGCTATATCATAACAATTTGCTACATGCCTACAAAAGACTGCTCCACCCATCTATCTCCTGCTGCATGTAGGTAGGTAGTTCCCATCTGCGTTATGCTGCGACTGTTGCTCATAGTAATATAACTCTGATGATCGTTTACTAGATCAAAACACCCCCATCATTTCATTGGAATCCGGAATTGCAACAACGAGACTGAAGGTGGTCTTGCACCAAAAGCAGCAGTGAATTTGAGTTCAGCCCTTGACAGGTTCTGGTTTTGGTTCATCCTCTGCCAGAGCATAGACCACTGCTGTTCTAGAAGGTGCATATACTAGGAAAGAACGAGGCCGGTCATCATACCACCCTTCCTGCACATGCAAAAGGTTTTTAAGTTTAGAAATTTTTGTTTCGATCTTTTACACTGTTACATGTATTATCAGGTATTAATTTCATCCTGAATGAAAATTCTTACGAAGGTGAAGTACTCCGCATTGTGATCGAGTCTATTGAAGCCTCCAAACAACTTATCATCTGAATCCAAGACTATCTGAAAGAGGCAACGCAGCTTTGTTTTTAATAGAGAAGTATTGCACAGAATATAAAAGAGAACAATACTAAATAAGAGGAAGAATATTGAGGATTAAAACATTTTAAACACAAACAACTAGCACAAGACCGATCAAACAGACAAGGGATTTGGTTCAATCTTAAAATTGTCCCTTTTCTTTTTCTTCCTTCAGTTTCAAACTACTTGTAATATTTACCAAAAGATACAGTCCATATCTTCATAATTATATCAAAGCTGAGTCCAAATTTGCCCATTTTGTTAATGAGTCAAATATTGGTATTTTTTCCTCCTATCTTCTACAAATAACAAAAGATTCTAATACAGCCTCCCATAATTGAATGCTAAGTTGGTAGTCGTAATTTGTGATGGTACCATAATTTGCTTACAAAGAATTTTTCTTACAAGCTCTAAGATGTAGGTCTTCTAACTTTTAAAAGACCAGGAGAACCAGTCTCTCTCTCTCTCTCTCTCTCTCTCTCTCTGATCAGCAACAAAAGAGAGATTCTTTTAAAGAAAGAAGAAAAGGTTCAAAAGGATACAACCAAGATTAAATATCATACATGATCTCCAAGCTCTACAAATCAAAACAAAGGGATTCCCATGAAATGAGATGACACCAAAGGCCAAAAGAAAAGATAATTAACAATTTCTATCCCATAATGACAATGCTTGAGATTTCGAATCAAACAGATTATTGACCAAGCAGATCTTCTAATTAGCTCACTCAATTAGACACCCTCATTATGTCGCATGATACATCTTTTCTTAAGTTTAACCATGTAAGTCCTCAAATCAATAAGCTACATAGTTGGATTCAGGAAAGAATAAAGCATGTAGTTAAAGATGATAGTTACTATGCCACTGATTCGATAAACAAATAAATGTAAATATGTAAATACAAAAATGTAAAAATGTAAAAAGAAAATTAAATTCAAAGAAGGCATTTTTGTGAACTGTGTACACCTGAGAGTAAACATTAGGATAAACTTACCTTATATTTTCCTGGCTTTAAGCAGCCTACTCGATAGTCTGAATAGCTGTTACTCCAATGAAAATTGAAGACAAAAACCAAGTTCCCTCTTTCAAAGACAATCATTCTATCTCCTTCATCCTTCCGCGAAATATATTGGTGCTCTGAAGTCATGAACTGCACCAACAGTTCATTTCATACATTTGTAAGATTTAAAATTTAAAAAAAAAAAAGAAAAAAAGACCTGTACCTAGTAGAATACACCAGCAGGTACAGCATCCTTCCAACAAAAAAATAAAATAATTGAAATTTTATGCCCAGCATCCACAATAAACAATGTCATACAACAAACTACTATTTGCTTAGTTCTTTTGTCAAAAGCACACATCCAACATTTTTTAAAAATAACATATGGAATACAGTTGAAATGTTTTTGAAGCAAATACTAGTTGTCTGCATTGTCCGTCAGCTTAATAAGCACAGATACGGACATGAGTGTACAAGCATGGACACGACGATATGAAACAAGACACCACAAAATAGGAAAAAAAACAAAAAAAACAAAAATATTTAATATATATATCTATGACCAAATTGATAAATTAAGTAATTAAATAAAAAAGGATAAATTACAAATATACCTCTTGAGGTTTGCTTAAAATATGAATTGTCCCCTGTGGTTTGAAAAATTACAAATACCTCGCCATCAGAATTTTTTATTTAGCAGAATTAATTGAAAAAATGAAATTTATAACTGTTCACCTATACAATAATAAAATTATTTGAATTATTAATTGAAATTAAATTTTAACATTATCAAAAACTGTTAATTTATTTCATGATTTATTAATAAAAGGACTTATTTGTTATGAAATTAGAAACTTTAGGGGGCATAATGTAATTTTTAAAACCACAGCGAGTAATTTGTAATTTAAGGAAACCTCAAAGGGTGTGTTTGTAAAGGCCGCAGTGGGAGGTTCCACATCAGCCCAGAAACCAAATGTACAACGGAGGCCATTGTAAAATAAATTGTAATCAATTATTTTATTATATAAATTTTTCAATTTGTAATTATTTTACTAGTAACAATATTTCAATCTGCAATTGATATGCGCCCTTACAAACGATTTTGTGCGACATTCCCACACAAAATAACAAATAATGGCGTTTTTTACAATATTATTATATTCGCCGGTCAGTATACCACCACTATCTCGGAATTTGGATACAATATTGTTTCCGATGTTGATAAATGTTTTAACGCCTTGACGGCTAATGGCATTGGCTGCATATTCATTAGATTACGGCGGCATTGAAACCGGGACACGCCGCAATACAACAAATCGATCTATTTTCGTGCCCCTGACCATACATCCAGTTCGTGGGTCACCATTGGACCACTGGAAAACATCTTCAAACTTAAGCGTATAAGCAGGATTAGGAAAGCGATCTAACATGACGACAAATTCACATTGTCCGTTGTCAAATATCCCAAATGCATCGAAATCCACCGTTTGAGTAGGAGCATCACGCATGTCGCTTTCCAACCCAGGCGTATCGGCGGCAACGTCAAAGAGACCACCAGTTTGGCGTAAAACTACACCCTGTATGTACAGTCCTAAAAGCGTCAATTTTCGCCCAAGTCGTTCATCTTTTTCAATCCCAACATCGGGCAAGTCAAAATGGAAAAAATGAGGCTCATCAAATGGGCGAAAATCGTCAATCCTCCAGATGGAATCACAAAACGATTTAGACATGAATCGTTTATTTTTTAAAATAACTCCATTTTCGCTTAAAATAACATCGTCCGGAAACACCGGATCCACTAGATGTTGTCCAACAGCGACTAAAATTTAATTTTGTTCTGGGAGTATATGGACGCCGTTGCGAAAATCGGAACGTAGTAGCCATAATCAATGGTGAAACTCCAGCAATTAAATGGATCACGTCGATTTTATTTTATAAGCGTAAAATGTTGACCGTGACATGGGTCAACGTTAACAGTGTATAATTTGGAATAACAATTAAAATACACGTCTACAACCAATTATATACACTAAGTATGGCAGACAAAATATTTCCAACACATACTAATAGATGGCACAGGTTACATCAAGGAAACAAAGACATGGGCTATACATATGGGCCCACCGTTTAAATTCAAATTCCCGACTGCGCTTGCCATTATTCAATCTTTTAATCCTGGCCGTAGATCTGGGAGCGGAGCGGAGCAGAGACCTTGTAGCCGACAACACGGCAAGGGACGACACGTGGCGCGAGGGGAGCGTCCCAGTAATATTATAGGGACGCTCTTGGGAGCATATATAAGTCACTCATTAACTCTCAACCACCAGGATAGTTTTTGAGAGAGTGACTTACGTCATCCGAGAGAGTAGGCTGAATTGTCAAACACACAATTCGTTTATGAATTTCCGAATCGAAATACATATCGTTATATAAAGGTTAAATCCATAGAGTTGGGAGAATAATTATATGTAAAACGACGTCGCATTGAGGCCATAGCTCACTCGCAATGACGTCACTAACTCTCTCGGATGACGTAAGTCTCTTTCAAAAACTGTCTTGGTGGTATAGAGTTAGCGAGTGACTTATATATGCTCCCAGGAGCGTCCTTATAATATTACTGGGGCGCTCCCCCCCGCGCCATGTGTCGTCCCCTGATTGGTGCTCTCTTCTGCATTTGGTGCCATGTTGTCGGCTACAGGGTCTCCGCTCCGCTCCCAGATCTGTGGCCAGGATTAAAGGATTGAATAATGACAAGAGCAGGCGGGAATTTGAATTTAAACGGTAGGCCCATATGTATGGCCCACGTCTTTGTTTCCTTGATGTAACCTGTGCCATCTATTAGTATGTGTTGAAAATATTTTGTCTGCCATACTTAGTGTATATAATTGGTTATAGACGTAGAACGTCTAGCTTACTTTCAACTGCCGCCTCTCACTGCTCTAGTTTCTAAAAAAGATTTGGTTCACATTGATCCATTTCCTTTTGAGGTCCCTCTTGAATATATCTCTATTGTTTCCCATGAGCTTGTTCTCTCTTCTCCTGCTGAGTCCCTCTCCCCTGTACCCCCTGAGTCTATTCCCTCTTCTCCCGCCAGCTCCTTCTCCTCCTCCGTTGTTACTCTATTATCCTTGCAAGGCTCTCCCTTCACCAGTTGTCTCTATCCCTGCTATTGATCCTCCTATTTCTTACAACTTTGATCTTGCTCTTCATAAGTATTCCCTTTGCATCTGTAAATAGGCAGTCAAACTTGATTTTTCTAACACGTTTTTTTTCTTCATACTATACGTTATTGTTTGCTATTCACTCTTTTTCAGAATCTCAGTCTTACAAAGAGGCCTGTCAAGCTCCTAATTGGATTCAAGTTATGGAGGATGAGTTGTCTGCCTTGCAGAAGACTAGCACTTGGGAACTGGTTCCTTTGCTTGCTAGCAAGAATCTGATTGATTGCAAATGAGTATAAAGTCAAGACTCATTCTGGTAGTTCTCTTGAGCACTACAAAGCTCACTTAGTTTCCAAAGATGTCTCCCAAGAATATGGTATTGATTATGAGGAGACCTTTGCCCTGTTGCCAAGATGACTACTGTCCACACCTTGATTTATGTTGTTGTTGTTCGTCATTGGCCTCTTTATTAGATGGATATTAAGAATGTTTTTCTTAATGGCCCTCTCACTGAGAAGGTTTACATACATCCTCCCCCTGGCCTTTATCATTTCTCTAGACAGGTTTGTCGTCTTCGGCGTGCTCTATATGGTTTAAAGCAATTTTCTCGTGCTTGGTATGATTGCTTTCAAACATCTGTTACTGCGCTTAGGTTCCATCCTTGTGCCTACGACTTCGCCTTGTTTCTCCTCCACAACTTTGCTAGTCTTGTTGTTTTATTATTATAGGTGGATGATATGATCATCACTGTATTTGACTCTTCTACTATCTTTGAGGTCAATCAGCACCATTCCCGCACTTTCAAAATGAAGGATCTGGGGCCCTTGCGGTATTTTCTTGGTATTGAGGTGGCTTTTTCTGCCAAGGGTTACTTTCTGTCTTAGGCCAAGTATGCCAATGAGGTTATTCACTGTGTTGCTCTTACTGACACAGAGATTTCTGATACTCCCATTGAGCTTAATGTAAAGCTCAACACTGTTGATAGTGTCCCTCTGGATGATTCCATGCTTAGTCTATCTGACAGTTACTCACCATAATCTAACCTATGTTGTTCATGCGGTTATCCAGTTCATTTCTACTCCTCGCTCTACCTAGTGGGCTGCTTTGGTTCGGATTCTTCACTATCTTCGTAGTACTATCTTCCAAGGCTGCTTGTTGTCTTCTACTTTTCCTTTGGATTTAGTGGCCTATGCTTATGCTGATGCTAATTGAGCTGGTAATGTTACCAATCATAAGTCCATTTCTGGTTTCTATATGTTTCTTGGTAATTCCTTGATTTCTTAAAAAAGCAAGAAACAAATTGTTGTTGCCTGTTCTACTGCCAAAACTAAGTACCGTGCTATGGCTCATGCTACTGCTGAAATTATCTGGCTTCGTTGTCTCCTCTCTGACTTGGGCGTCCCTTAGTCTTCTTCGACCTATCTCTACTGTAACAACTACAATGCTATTCAAATTGCCTATAACACTGTCTTCCATGAGCGGACCAAGCACATTGAGACTGATTGTCACTTTGTCCGCCAACATCTGCAATCTGGCTCTATCTCGCTTCATTTCGTCTCTTTCGTTTTGCAACTTGCTAATCTCTCTACCAAGACTCACACTACTACTCTGTTTCAGTTTCTTCTTGGCAAACTCTCAAGATTTTCTGCTAAAACACCACGAGTTTGAGCGGGGAGTGTAAGAATATTAAATTTTTATATATATGGTAGTGTATATTGTGTATATATTTTGAGAGATTGTGTGAATATGTGTGAATATTCTTTCCTTTTTTGTCTTAGGGTTAAGAGTACTATATAATCAGATGTATTCTTTGTATTATGAATCAATCGAATATACAAAAAACTTACAACCTATATATGAAGGCCTGAGGGGCTTCTCAAGGATGCAAGAGAGAGTTCTAGAAGAAAGAATATAAAGGTGATGGAGAGATCAAAGACTCATTATTGAAGACCTTCATGGTTGAAGAACACGTATGGGTTGGTTTCTTCTTTTTCTTGTTCAACTGTATGGTAGAAAAACATGGCAACCCGCTCAGAATTCAACCTTCTCTAGTCCTGGAAGGAAACCCTGCTTTCCTTCTAACCCATGGCACTGCAAGAAGACAGTCAGGATCTCACATATGGCAACTGTTGCAACAAACTCTTAATCTAAGAGTTACCTGCCTAGAAAAAAGGAAACTCATGACTCACTAGTGAAAGAGAGACAAAACTAATTTAAGTCCGCGGTAACCGATATGGTCCATGGATGCATTTAGACAGTACCTTTTGTTGCTCCAAATAATATTTCCTCCTACATCTCAAGATGAAAGGCCAACAGTGGCTGCTGCGCATGATGGTTCAACTGGGCTTTCTATCCTTTCTCTAAATCAGATGACTTTGGGCTTTAAACGATCAAGATGAAGTGTGCACATTCTTTTTGTAAGCAAGGAGAGAGAGAGAGAGAGAGAGAGAGAGAGAGAACCAATTAAAGTCCACGGTGACCAACCATGCTCCTTGGATGCATTTAGACAGTTCCTTTTGTTGCTCCCATCCCAATGATATTTCTGTTACATGATACTGGGTAGAACTCAACCCCATGGATGCATTTAGACAGTTCCTTTTGTTGCTCCCATCCCAATGATATTTCTGTTACATGATATTGGGTAGAACTCAACCCCAAAAGCTAGCTATTGAGCTGATGATCCCTCACGCTTATATGCTTTAACATTACTTTAGTAGTCAGGCGATGTGGGTCTTCACTTCACACCCTCCCTCATGCCCAGTGTGCTCACGCAGCAGCACCTATGACGTGCAAGCCAAGGACATGCACCCTACCTATCCCTGAGTATGTTACACGGTTTTGGATAGAACTCAACACCCAAAGCTAGCTGTTGAGGTGATGGTGCCCTCACGCTTATATGCTCAGACATAACTTTAGTACTTAGGCGATGTGGGGTTTCACTTCACAATTTCCTCTTACATATCAAGATGAAAAACCAATGGTGGGCGCTGTGCATGATGGTTTGGATGGCCCCTCTATCCTTTATGTGAACCTTGCCTTGGGGCCTTGATCAATCATGATGAAGTGTGAACATTCCTTTGAAAGACAAATATATTATCTTTTTGCATTTTGACCCCTCAAGAAAAAATTTCAAAATCAAAGCATGGCTCCACTGTCTATGAAGTGTCCCAAAAAGGGACACCCGTGTCACCAGCATGTCTGGTAGGAAAACAAACTAAAAAAAGTGAAGACACATATAGATGACTGTCCAATACGTATCAGCACATCTGCCATGTCAAAAACGCATATATCCCCCTGGGGATGTATCGATGCTTCTTTGCTGCCATCCAAAGGGAAAGGTTCAAGTCCTAGTTGGAGCAGGTGTGCCTTGTAAAATTAAAATAGAACGGGAAAATATATCTGTTTGGAATGTCAGACATGTCTCCTGTGATATTAATTTCCCAGATAGAAGCCAAAATTATCAAAATACCAAGGGCCTCGAGCTTTGCTGGCTACCTAAAGTGTACAAGACATAGGAGCTATCTGAAGCACTAGATTTAGACATTACTTCACCCTGATAACAGCAGCATGGTAATGAGATACACAAAGACAGGAACAAGATGAACCTGAACAATCTTTCTCTTGACATGTTAACAGATTCCAAGAATTAAAAAGAGGCTATCCATGTGGGGGAAGAGAAAAGGTCAACTTACAAAGATCAATGGTAATTTTCCTTCATATGTAGGGGATAATGTGTTGGATTCAAGGACTTCTTTCCAATATGAACAACACAGTGGAAAATTTCATAACTAATCATATTGTCTCAAACATTTTTGCAACACTAGAAAAATTTGAAAGCTGTAAGAAATATAGAGATCCATTAAATGAGTAACAGATAACTGCGGCTTTACAAAATCAAAAGAGAGCTAGATACTTAGCACAAGAAAAACATACGCCAGTGGCTTCTTCAAGATGCTGCATCACTTGATCAAATTCTTGCATCCCATGATATCGTAAATAATCTGCGTCCCCCTGATTAGACAAAATCCCAAAATTTCAGAAACTCTAGTTATATACAGACAACCTAGAAGGATCCTAGAAGGTGGTTCCGATTTCCCACCAAAATGGGTTGCTCCTTGAAAACTTGAAGGTCTAATACAATAAATATGCTTCAGGAAATAAAGAAAAGAAATAATGTAGTTCTGCAGCACGAAGAACATAAAGTTTTAAAAGATATTACAAGGCTAGGAGTACAGTTTTGCAACCTGACATTTCATTATAAGTATTATCAAACAAAAAGTGAACCATGAGACTATGTTTGCTTAGTGTTAAAATGTATGTATTATTGATTGATGTTTTGATGTCTATTACAATGATTCATGATTCCTATATATAGAAGAGGGTGAGTGTGTAGTAGGTGAAGAGTAGGTGAAGTGGAGGTGGTAGTGGTGTAGTGGGTTAGGTTTAGTGGAGTAGGTTTAAGTGGGGGAAGGTTTAGTGGAGTAGGTGAGGTGGTAGTGGTGTAGTGGGTTAGGTTTAGTGGAGTAGGTGAGATGGTAGTGGTGTAGTGGGTTAGGTTTAGTGGAGTAGGTGAGATGGTAGTGGTGTAGTGGGTTAGGTTTAGTGGAGTAGGTGAGATGGTAGTGGTGTAGTGGGTTAGGTTTAGTGGAGTAGGTGAGATGGTAGTGGTGTAGTGGGTTAGGTTTAGTGGAGTAGGTGAGATGGTAGTGGTGTAGTGGGTTAGGTTTAGTGGAGTAGGTGAGATGGTAGTGGTGTAGTGGGTTAGGTTTAGTGGAGTAGGTGAGATGGTAGTGGTGTAGTGGGTTAGGTTTAGTGGAGTAGGTGAGATGGTAGTGGTGTAGTGGGTTAGGTTTAGTGGAGTAGGTGAGATGGTAGTGGTGTAGTGGGTTAGGTTTAGTGGAGTAGGTGAGATGGTAGTGGTGTAGTGGGTTAGGTTTAGTGGAGTAGGTGAGATGGTAGTGGTGTAGTGGGTTAGGTTTAGTGGAGTAGGTGAGATGGTAGTGGTGTAGTGGGTTAGGTTTAGTGGAGTAGGTGAGATGGTAGTGGTGTAGTGGGTTAGGTTTAGTGGAGTAGGTGAGATGGTAGTGGTGTAGTGGGTTAGGTTTAGTGGAGTAGGTGAGATGGTAGTGGTGTAGTGGGTTAGGTTTAGTGGAGTAGGTGAGATGGTAGTGGTGTAGTGGGTTAGGTTTAGTGGAGTAGGTGAGATGGTAGTGGTGTAGTGGGTTAGGTTTAGTGGAGTAGGTGAGATGGTAGTGGTGTAGTGGGTTAGGTTTAGTGGAGTAGGTGAGATGGTAGTGGTGTAGTGGGTTAGGTTTAGTGGAGTAGGTGAGATGGTAGTGGTGTAGTGGGTTAGGTTTAGTGGAGTAGGTGAGATGGTAGTGGTGTAGTGGGTTAGGTTTAGTGGAGTAGGTGAGATGGTAGTGGTGTAGTGGGTTAGGTTTAGTGGAGTAGGTGAGATGGTAGTGGTGTAGTGGGTTAGGTTTAGTGGAGTAGGTGAGATGGTAGTGGTGTAGTGGGTTAGGTTTAGTGGAGTAGGTGAGATGGTAGTGGTGTAGTGGGTTAGGTTTAGTGGAGTAGGTGAGATGGTAGTGGTGTAGTGGGTTAGGTTTAGTGGAGTAGGTGAGATGGTAGTGGTGTAGTGGGTTAGGTTTAGTGGAGTAGGTGAGATGGTAGTGGTGTAGTGGGTTAGGTTTAGTGGAGTAGGTGAGATGGTAGTGGTGTAGTGGGTTAGGTTTAGTGGAGTAGGTGAGATGGTAGTGGTGTAGTGGGTTAGGTTTAGTGGAGTAGGTGAGATGGTAGTGGTGTAGTGGGTTAGGTTTAGTGGAGTAGGTGAGATGGTAGTGGTGTAGTGGGTTAGGTTTAGTGGAGTAGGTGAGATGGTAGTGGTGTAGTGGGTTAGGTTTAGTGGAGTAGGTGAGATGGTAGTGGTTTATTGCATAACCCGTTTTCCACTTCTAGTCAAGTTAAATCATTCCTCTTTCTTGAAAAAGTATGATTAAGAAACCTAATCATTACATTTCCCTATTTCTTCTTTGGACGCTCAACTTAATGAATCCAACTTATTTCTTCTTCTTTGGATGCTCAATGTAGAAATTTAATATATAAAGAGAAATGATTGTATTATTGATTGATATATAGTTATGGTTACAATGATTCCTATATATAGGAGAGGGTGAGTGTGTAGTAGGTGAGGAGTAGGTGGAGAGTAGGTGAAGTGGATGGAGTAGGTGTAGTGGTAGGTTTTGGTACATTTTAACACTCAACTTAATGAATCCAACTTAGAGAGGCACAAAATAAGAGTTTAGACTTTGTCGAGCAGTTGATTTTAGAGAATTTCAACAACTATTCTAACCAAATTTCTTCAATCTATCTCAAGGTGTAAGCTTTGAAACCCACCTCAAGAGGACTGTTTCAAAAGTATCTAATTTCTTTTTTAATAATACCCCCAATCCAAGTAATACTACTTGCAATTTTGGCTCAAGTTTGCTAGTGATACTTTCTTCAATCTAAACTAAATGTATAACATGCATACTAGTCTCACTCTAGGTCTCTCTTTATTGGAACTCTCACCCATTGTAATCACAAAAGTACTTCAAAATTCAAATGCTTTTAAAAGTTTTGTGGCCAAATTGAAATGCAAACAAAAACCTTCAAACAAAGTTGTGCACTGGAAGTGGCGGATTGGAGTGATTCTGAAGCTGTCTCACACAGATCAACATGATTTGTGCCTAAACCAAATTGATTCATATATCCAATTTCTGATTTTGCCCAAACAACAACCTTCAAACAAATCTGTGCACTGGAAGTGGCAAATTGGAGTGACATTGAAGCTGTCTAACAGATAAATAGAGATCAACCCAATTGGGTACCTAAACCAAATAAATTTAGATATTTGATTTCTTGTTTCACCCATCTTACATTAAACTTTCTTCAACATATTTTGTTAATTAGCCTTTCTAGTTCTAAACAAAGGGTAATCATACTTTTTAGGAGTTCTTTTAATTTGTAGGAAAGATGGTCGATGTAACATTCTAATTTTATGCTCATTTTTTTTGTGAGTAAATTTTATCACCAAAAAAGCATCAAGATGATATGATACTCACGAACACATCATAAAAATCAAACAAAACCCAAAACTAAACACTAAAGAGTATCTATGAAATACACAAAAAGCAAACAAATCCGGAGACACAATGCCCGACACCCAACTATACAAAATCACTAGAAACTGAGCTTTCAAACGATCCACCAACTCATCCACACCTTGAAAGATACGCCGGTTACGCTCCAACGAAACCATCCACATCAAACACAGTGGTGCCAAAGCCCACGCCTTCCTATGCCTCTTTCCAACCCTACACCCTCTCCATAGTCCATTTTGTTAACTACTTGTATCCTCTTTAAAGGCAAGCATACAACATAACTATATGAATCATAACAAAACTATGTCTCTTCCAAATGCTATCCCTTTGCAGAACAATTTTTCACACATTTTCAAACTAAAAATTAGAATAAGAATTATTTAACAAACCAGTCAAATTCTCTTCACCATATTTTGGGAGAAAACACAAGATTTTCATACTATCCTTCCAATGGGATTAATCTCTTTGACCTTAGTCATTGAATTTTCCTCATTACAAGTCTGCATGCTACATTACATGCATACACTTTCCGAATGCAATAAGAGCATCATGAATCTATTAATAGGGTCAATCAAACTTGCTAGTTCCACTATGAAAAAACAAGACCTGAGTACTATACTTTTCCATGGGAAAATAATTCCCTATTCCTTGTCCAACAAGAAATTCTGTTCACGGCTCGATAAAAAGGTTTTATTGGTAGGAACTTGGACATTCTCAAGAAGTCTTTGTCATCCCGTCACGGGGAGCTCACTTTGTTCAGTGACAATTCATAAGACAGTTCTATATGCTACTCAATGAGGAAAAATGAATAATATATAAATGTACCCCCTTGGTCATTTTTGTGTTGGAAAAAAAAAATTTGGGTAAGTATGTGTTGGAAATTTCATGCCAAAAGCTTAGTTGAATCTTTGAGAAAGGTTTTGTAGTTAAAGATTGAAGATGGCTCAAGTCAAAACTGAAACAAGCAGACGATTTTGAGAGAAAGGTAAAAAGTCATGCATTCATTAGCATGTCATGTATATTGTTTTCACATAGGTTTCATCTTAGTTGGATTGGTTTCCACATAAATCTGTGTCTCGCTCTGTGTTTGATTGCTTTATTTTTCTACATATTATAGTCTGCTTAAATAACATGGAATTAATTTGAATTAAATTAGATTGGATTATTAGATTTACGTTCAGTTTTTATTTAACCTGAAAAAAACAATCATGGCTATTTGCGAACTCTGAGAAAAACCTAGTTTTCAAAACCAGCCTCATACTCATTCGGGCCCTTGCCTGGGTACAATATCCAATTTGTGAGTTTCTTATACACTTTCATTTATTGGGGTCTAATACTTATTGTGAATTTTTTGAAAGAAATCCATGTATACATATCTCATTATTACAACTAATGTTTTTATCATCTTGGCTTGTTGACGTAGCCTTTTTGGTGGGTGAACAACTTAAAGCCTTGTGTTTTGTGTTTATTCTTTCTTATGTATTTTTTATATGATTTTCCACTTGACAATACAATCCAAACAATTTATATATCCGTCTGTACCAACAAGTTGTTCCAAAGCTTTAGGGCCTTATTTTACAAGTTTTACTAGATCATAGTGAAACAAAAAATTTCAAGAGGGCCTAAATCAGTTTGAAGTCCATTTCATGATTCCAATTGCAATTCTCATAGAAAATGTTAAACTTGAAGAAGCAAGCCCATGTGACAAGGCTTTACTGTTAACTATGAATAAAATTCCAACTTCACAATATAAGCAAAGGAAATAAACTTACAAGATCAAATCTACGCCGACATTTATCATAACTGTTATTATTTCCAAGTATAAATTTGCCGTTGGGAAGATATTGATCTGATCTTGGAAAATCTATCCACTCTGACAAAAAAAGGATTGCAGAGAATTAGCAATTACGCATAGTCCACCCAATCCAAAAGCAGTTAAAAACACAATGACAAAAGATTACTAATTGAGAATAAATAAATCAAATGACCTCTATCCTTACCAGGATGTCCGAATTCATTTCCCATGAAATTCAGATAACCTTCGCCACCTAATCCCATAGTAATAAGTCTGATCATTTTGTGCAATGCTATTCCACGATCTATCAAGGGAGTTGATGGTATATCCAAAGACATGAAGTCATACATATCCTGAAAACCATGGGAAACATAATACTTAAAAAGCCAAGAAACCATCATAAATTTGCATCTGACACAGATTCTATAACTATAGCATGAATAACATGTTCTAACCTTCATCTACACATCCATTGGTTTTAGAAGACAAAATGAGAAAGCCATATATGAATCAATTATTGAAAAGAATGACAAAAAATGACGGTCCATTCTCCTTATATAAATCTAAAAAGAGAACATATATGACTTGTTCGACAAGCCAGGAATTTATCTGATCGTCATAGAACCAAAAGGGAATGCTTATTTCTCAGCAAACCAGAAAAAATGACAACCTATAACATTAAATGAATTATCACTTTTAATGCAAGCAATAAAACTGATCAGGGATTGATAGATCTTTCATATTTTAACCATAATTTACAATATAAGCATTGGTTATACAATGTATGACAGCCGTGTCATTGCCTCCAACTCATTTATTCAATTTTTGAGAAATTTAGTTAGAATACATTCCAACCTTGAACTAAATTATTGCTTTCTGAGCAGCCTATTACAGGCTATTTTTATAGTTCATATCATGTGTGTCCTTCATAGTATGTGATAAGCACATACTGAAAAGAAGTTATATAACCTTGTCCATCAACCAAAATGCAATGGTCTTGTCACCAACAAGAGCTTGATCATGACTTTCAGCATAAGCAACACACTTTTCTGACCACCTTCTATTAATAAGTGTGTGAACAATATCACGCACTCTCCAATCCTCATCTCTCTTCCTGTTCAAATTAAAATAAATAAATAAATAAGAGACAAGTAAATATAATTTATAAGTCAAACACAATGGAATCACATTAAGGATGAATATCAATGCTAGCTCAGGCTGAACAATAAAGTGCCATATTTTGAACATTGTAAAATTTGTATTGCAGAAATTTAATGTATAAAGAGAAATAGAGAATTGTATTATTGATTGATTTTCTGTCTATTACAAATGGTTCCTTATATAGATGTAGGTGTAGTGGATGGTGGTAGTGGTGTAGTGGGTTAGGTTTAGTAGAGTAGGTGAGGTGGTAGTGGTGTAGTGGGTTAGGTTTAGTGGAGTAGGTGAGGTGGTAGTGGTGGTAGGTGATGGTAAATTCTAACATGTATCATTTCATAAATTCAGTTACAAGTCATCAAAATAACATGCATTAGGAAAAACCTACAGCCAAATCCCATGGGTGTTGTGATAAAATTTATAGAGGCTGGATACAGAAAAACATGCTGACTTGTCACTTTCTAGTCAAATAGCACTTTTGCATTCCATGTTAAAGGACATCTTCTACTCTTATTGGCATGCAGGGCACACCAATATATATTCATCACTGCATATTTAAGTAATGTCACTGTGTTAAACAAATCTCACATTGTACATATACTTTCGTACCAGTCTCCTAATTGCAAGTTTTCCATCTTTTAACAAGCTCTAACAATTCGTGATTTGATTTTGGCATTTCACTCTCCCATGGCATCATGAACTTTGTTCTGTAAATATAAAAACTCTTCTCATTGTGTTCCACTTATGTTTCTTGGGTTCGATGAATACAATTTTGTTCGTTACAAAAAACTGAGAGAGAGAGAGGGGGGGGGGGGGGGAGAGTTGTGCTTATTAGTAACAAAATTGTGGAAGCAATGGATTTTAAGATCAGTTCTTGAATCAGTAATTGTCCGTCAATAGGTCCAATACATGTATTGATAAAATAAAAATATCTATGATGTCAATTAGCACCTAGGAAGCATGAACACCTCTCCAGAGATCACTTTACTGGCGTTTGACAAGTATCCCTCTTTTTTCCCTTTTTTTTTAATCAAGCACGCTAGGAACATGCTAGGGACACACAATGGACATGCTAGACACATTGAGCATGGTTATTAGAGTCCCAATTTGGATCTTATCATGAACATCCCATGGGAGAGCTGTGTGATATCATGAAGATTCAATGTTATTTTTTATGGGAAATGTGGTCTACTCTACATTGAGAGAAGGAAATAAAAGGGAATTTAAAGAGCTGAATTTTCCACGTGTCATGCTTCTTGGCTGTAAACTCCTGAACTTACAAGTCATAGATCTTTCTTCCTTCCTGATTAAAAGTGCACACTTACTATTAGAAGTAGAGGGAGAGAACAAATAAGCACTTTAGGAAGATGCATGCCTCATACAGTACTATAACCTGGCAACTTTATGCTAGCAATATGCATAGAACAAAAAGAATTCATGATGGGCTTTCAAAAAATCTTTCCAATTTTACTTCAGTTAGAACCTTTCTAGTAATTTCAGTTCACACTTAGATACACCCTAGTTTATTTGTAAGGGATCATATATATCTTATTGCTTACTAGCTTTGCTATTTTCAACTTTTGGTTCTTGTTTGCAAAATAAGACTTTTAGATATACAGAAAGGATCACATTCTTCAACTTCTAAAATTATGCCCACAAATCATTTGCCAATATTAAGTGGAGATAAAACCATAAAACAACCCATCTTTCAAGGTTTAAGCATTTGGAGTTTCAAAAGCAACATACTTGAGAAGCTCTATCCATTTATCTGCTATGGCCATATGCAGGCGATAGTCAAAACCAATGCCACCGTCTTGAACAGGAATACCAAATGTTGGCATTCCACTAACCTGTAAAGCAATAAACATGTCTTAATAAAGAAAATGGTCAATACAAGCACAGCTCTTTTATCCTATAAATAGTGGTTGGCACTATCTTAATAAAATGACCAACAAAGTCAGTACGAAGTTGGTAATGATGTATTCATAATGACTCCATCTATTCCAAACATCAATGAGATCTGCAAAACTCATACTAGTTTAAATATTTCAAAACAGACATACCATCATAGGTCTCATTAACAAAATCTAATTTCCAGCCCATGTTAGCCAATATGTATGCTATTCATGTGCTATTCATATATAGGGTGATGGGAGATGAAAGGATGAAAAAGAGGAATCTGTTTCATTCGAATGAGCTCCGATTTCCGGTAGTGCATGTTAAAAGTGAACATTTAGGTCATTTATTTTTGGATAAGGGTGTCAACTGTAAAGGCTTACACAGGCATTTCCAGATAGAATTCAACATTTAGGTCATTTATTTTTGGATAAGGGTGTCAACTGTAAAGGCTTACACAGGCATTTCCAGATAGAATTCAACTCCTTGCTTCTCTCTAGTTCCTGCATAATGACTGGGTAGTTGTTAGTTCCCCCACTCTGAAGCCTAGAAAAGATTTCCATGGCATGGACTGAACCACAAACTTATCAGGTTTTGTCTTGGTAAGCAAGATCAATAAGGTAATGGAGCTATTTTCCTAGATGATGCAGAAATATAACTTTCATATTTTCCAATTCAGTATGATGATTTTTCTGTTTTGCAAAAGAGGGATTTTTGGAAAAGTTTCATCCTTTGATCTCCAGACTCCAGCAAATGTTTGATTTAGTATGATGAAAGGTTGTGGTTTTTTGAATAAGATCTGTCTCCTTTGGCTCCTGGCACAATAGTCATCTTAGGAAAAATAATGGAATTATCGTATTCACTTTCCTTAGAAACATAGATTATGGGGATTGAAAGTTGGCCAACACCAGCACAGATTTATTGACCAAGGTTGGTCTCTTGGGATTGTTCCAATAATGCTCACTTTAAACACACTTACCCTCAGTAGGAGGCATTATGAGGATCCGACAACTATGAATTTCTATTCCTACGAGGAGGATGATTTTTGCAGCTAATTTCCAAGCATAAGGAGATTCTTATTTTGCAGAAGTGGGTTATAATTTGGATGCATATGTAACCTCTCCCTCTCCCCATATCCTATTACGATTTTTCAGGGCTGCCTAAAACTCTTCTTTAAACAGAACCTTCTTGTGGTCACTCAGAATACTCCTCATTATTTATTTATTTATTATTACGTCTCAAAATCTTCTCAAAAAGGAGTAGGATCACTTTTTGTGGTCACACAGAATACTTCTACTTACGTCTCGAACACACTTACCCTTTGTACTTAATGCTCCAGTCTAAAGAGCTCCATAACGTCATTGAACATCTCCAAGAACATCGAGAGGTAATATATTGATAAAAGATTAACAAAAGCCTGAACATTTTCCTTCACATGTATGTAAAAATTTAGATCAAATGGTAATAGCCTTTAGAGATCTACAATTGTTGTGAATTGTGGGATAAATAACAAGGCTAGCTACTAAAGGGGCTTCACAATCTCATAGTCATTGTTTGCAAAAGCTTCTATTTTTACATGTCAGCATCCTCATGAGCCTCCCTAGACACCCAAAGAAACTAAGCACCCAAAGATTGTCGGAAGACAAACCAAACCAAACCAAACCTTAAGTCCCATCAAATAGGATCGGCTACATGAATCCTTCTTCTCTACGCGGCCCTATCAAAGGTTATTTCGTTAGTCAAATTAAGTAGATCCATATCTCTATTTACAACGCTAACCAACGTTAATCTAGGCCTACCCCGTCCCCTAACACTTCCATCTACCGTTACAGCATCGCATCTCTTCACAACTGCCTCTGTTGGTCTCCGTTGAATATGACCAAACCATCTCAATCGATTCTCTCTCAATTTATCTTCTATCGGTGATACTCCTATCCATTCCCGAATACACTCATTTCTAATTCTGTTTTGTCTAGTCTTGCCACAAATCCACCTTAGCATTCTCATCTCAGCCACATTCATCTTATCTACATGTTGTTTCTTGATTGCCCAACACTCCGTCCCATACAACATCCCTGATCTAATAGTCGTTCTATAAAACTTACCTTTAAGTCTAGTGGGTATTCGTTTATCGCATAGTACCCCAGACGCACTTCTCCACTTACACCATCCCGCCTTAATCCTATGGGCTACATCCGCATCAATCTCCCCTGCTGTTGTGATAATCGACCCTAAATAAGTTACGTACCCGAACTCTGTGTATTAGCAAATGAAGAGTCTCCCTCCACAAGGAAGTGATGATGACCACAGTAATGTGTTTCCCGCTTCACCAGCAACCATCCCTTCTTGGACGTCCGTCTTTCTCATCTTCGTTTGCAGAAACGATCTTTCTGCACTCCATCACCTTTACCGAGATTACATTCTTCAGATTATATCAGTAGCAACCCAAACCTAGCTACTTCACCAATTTCTTTAATCTCTATTTCAAGAACTTCAGTGCAAGTATTTTCATTGATTGTCAGTTTGTTATCACTAGTATGAAACCTAGCCGGTTCCATATCCAAAATCTAATCAAAAACTGCCAAGCGCTTTCTATTTTTGGAACAGAGACTCAAATGAAATACCATCATCGACACATTCAATTCACTTCCTGAAAACTCACTCGATCCAACACCAAGATCACAAGAGCAATCAGCACCCAAAGCAGCACCACCATCAATCAGTTGTGTTAGTTCCACTACCTAAACCCTGGATCATCCAAATCCCCAGTCAAAGCAGCCACTTTGTCACTATTCGCACAATCATCAATTGACAACCATTGTCTTGCTAGGTTTGCAGGTAGCCGTGACCAACAGTTCCATTGCAGACAGTCTGCTCTTGGGAGCACGTCAGCAAAGAGTCCTAGGGAGGTGCAATCATTGGAGCCGAATAATTACAATAGACCCTACAAAGACATCCAGACACCTCCCTAGGACTGGAGGTCATTGGAGGGTCTATTGTAATTATTCGGCTCCAATGATTGCACCTGCCTAGGACTCTTTGTTGACGTGCTCCCAAGAGCAGACTGTCTGCCATGGAACTGTTGGTCACGGCTACCTGCAAACCAACGATGTCAATGGTAGCAAGACAATGGTTATCAATTGATGCATGCTTTTCTTTTAAAATTTTCAATTAGTTGCATTTGATAACCAGAACAGAACTAACCAATTAGTGTACCCTTTTCTATAGTGGTGTATATGTGGAAGCCATATGGGCCAATGAGTGTTGAACAACTGTCAGACTGTCTGTAGCATTCTTTATTTTACAAATAAACCATAATCTTTTGTTGGTTTATATTTTACAATTCAACTTACAAAAATAAGGAAAAATGACAACAGCCATCTTGGTTATTTTTTCTAAAACAAGATTTTTGACACCTTTCCTCTGTAGTTGTCATTCTTCCTAAATACCCGCCATCCAATAACTAGGTAACGAAAACTAGCACTGCTTTTTGTGTCATGAAATTTGGGAATTAGAGGATAAGCATCTTGGGCACACACACATACCGAAATTGCAAGACAAACGCACAAAAAACAGGTAAAAAAGGCTATGCAGCTAAGCAATAAGATGTAAAAAAGTAAAACATGTGAGCCAGCTACTCATTCAACCTAAACTATGTATAGAATAAAGAATGCACATAATAATTAGTAAAAGGAAAAGCTTACATACATCTTCACCAATAGTAATAGCTTCAGGAAAGAGCCCATGAATAAGATCATTAACCAGCATCAGATAAACCACAGCATCTACATCAGTAGCATATCCAAAATACTCATTGTAGTTTCCTGTAAATGCTACCTAATAGTAATTAACAAAAAAGAACAGTCAAAAAAATTTCGAATTAAAAAAAAAAAAATCATGTAAGCTTATTGCCAAATAAAATATATATTCACCTAAAACCAGTGTTTCTAAAATCTGTTATCGTAAGCATACATATAATAAAACCGATCTCTTTTAAATATATATCAGCATAAAAATATATCATCCCAAATTAGGTTACCAATCACACACCCCAGTTATCATTGATGAGATGCTCAATTTCTTCAGCTTTGTTCTATCTTGCAATTAGAATATAGTTTAAACCCTTATCCACCAAATGATACACATGGTAAGCAAGATAAAACCTGATGCATAAGGTTTAACTACAGTCTTGAGCCCGTTTGGTGGGCATAATGTTTGTGAAACAAGTCCAGTGCTTCGTTTGGGGACTAAAGTATTTTAGCCAAAAAGTCACTATAAGTTGTCACATCACTCTCTACTTTTCTATACATCTTTTCATAAAAAGGCAAAAAATTACTAAAATAGCTTATTCCCAAACTCATTTACAAACAACGGGTTGATAATAATGACACACAAGGTAGACAAAAATTTGCAAAAACCATCTACTTAGACCTCGTTTGAGAACAGGTTATTTCAGTAATTTTTTGGTTTTTTAGCTAAAATGTGAGGTAAAAAAAATTTAGTATGTTTGGAATGAATTTTTAATTTTTTACAAAAAGACGTGCAAAAAGTAAAAAGAAAAGGGAATCTTACTTTTTTTATAGAATTTATTGACTTTTTGACTATTTTAATGCCTTTTTGACTTTTAGACAAAGGTGATGTTCCCAATTAAATTTCTTCAATAAACATTTAAAGTAAAATATCGACAACTAATGAGTAGAAATTGAAATGAAAGAGGAAACAGTACATACCATGAACCTGTTTAGTAAGGGTTGAGAAAAATTAAGTATGCACTATAGGAAAACATAAGATTTATATGAAATGGTTGGCCAAATGACAAAGGGAAAAGGTATTAAAAGTAAAGGAGGTAAGGTTGGATAGCAAGCAAGCCAACAAAAATAAGGAAAGGATAACGATTAATTAAGGCAAAGGTAGAAAACAAGTGAAAAGGAGAGAATTTCCTTGAGAATTTAAATACATGCCTTCAACAATAATACATGAGGACATATAGTAAAGACGATTGAACCACAGAAGAGAGAGAGAGAGAGAGAGAGAGAGAGAGAGACAGAGAGAGAGTTAGTGGAAACTTGCCCTAATCTTGAAACCTATATCAAAATAACCCCTTCTAAATTTTGTACTCAAGATTTTGTGGAGAAAAATGATACAACCCTTAAGTAGAACACACTTAAGTGAGGGTATAACGCCAAGCACAATACACTTGACAGAAAATACAACTGTCCACCACCTCCATGAATAATTATCTACCTTAAATCTTTAAATCACCCTGAACCACAGCGGATTCCATTTTTCATTCCAGTTGCTGATGTGAAGACTGCCTTGTATCATAAGGCAAAACAACTAATAGCAGTCTACATTGATTATATCATGTCACACACACACACACACACACATAATAATAATTAAAAAGCTAAATAGAAATACAGAATAAACTAAAATAAAATGGATAAGACTACAAAATTGAAACCTAAGCTACACCAAAAACTCAAAAACAAGATGCTTTTCAAGTTCAGTCATCCCCAGTTAAAAGTCACCAGAAAAAATGATTTACAACTAAAGATGTCTTCCACAATGAAAAATGAAGGGATCCAAGAAAAGGCAATTATGATCTGTAAAGAACCATAACAACAGAACGTGGCCCAATTATAAATTCCAAAAAATGAAGATAAATTTGAATTCACTTCTTTTCAGAAAGAGGAATGAGGGAGGGGAGGGGAGGGGAGCAAGCAGGTGACTATAGGACATTAGCTGGCTTAAAGCATATTCAGCCAACATTTAAGACCATTTCTAATATTATACAAGACTATGCTTCGCACTGCACACTTGAGTTGAGTACTAGAAATTAGCTACACTTTCGTTTACACATTTCTTTCAGGTCATTGCTTTTCCAATCATGATGATGAACTTCGCATATATAACCATGCTATACTACTCCCAACAAGAAGTGCACACAGGTGTCCCATAGCATTTTAATTGTACCTGCAATCCATGGTGAGTATACATCATTGAAGTAACACCATCAAATCTGAACCCATCAAACTTAAATTCCTCCAGCCACCATCTTGCATTTGAAAGAAGAAACCTCATTACCTAAAATAACAAGTGTAAATTAATGTTTATGCCTAGAGAAATGAAGAGAAAGAAAAGGTGAACTTCATTGTATTGAACTATAACTTTGAAATTAGCACATACTTCCCAGTGGCCATAATTAAAAAGACGAGAGTCCCACATCCAGTGATAACCCCGTGATCCAGAGTGGAAGTAGTGGCTATCAGTTCCATCAAACATGTTCAGTCCATCCAACGTATTACTTGATGCATGGCTGAATTCATAAAGTATTTCCAGTCAGATACAGAGCACAAAAGAATTAATAGATTAACAGGAAAATTATATAATGATTAAAATAAGACCGCAATATGATCAAGACGTGATTCATTTCTTGTTAAAATCCACCTACTCTTCACCTACTTCACCCACTTAAACCTACTCCACTAAACCTAACCCACTACTTCACCCACTCTCCACCTACTTCACCCACTTAAACCTACTCCACTAAACCTAACCCACTACACCACTACCACCTCACCTAAACCTAACCCACTACACCACTACCACCTCCACTTCACCTACTCCTTACCTACTACACACTCACCCTCTTCTATATATAGGAATCATGAATCATTGTAATAGATATCAATATAAATCAATCAATAATACATACAATTTATTCTCTCTCTATTTCTCTTTATACATTAAATTCTACATTTCTCATGAAAATGAATTGAAGTGCCCAAAAACAGTACACTCTCTTTGGTTGTAGAGATTGAATTTGCATGTCCACCTCTTGTCCATCCCTCCCTACCACAAATAACTAGCCAATGCTTGGACAAAATATTACATGCAATATATCACTGCAGAAACCCTAATAAATTATGGAATGTGATGATTCTGTTTTATGCTGATATAGACCCTCCTCTAAAAGCTATAGATAACAGCCCTCCTTCTCTGTAAGTACTAGTAAATATAAACAAAAAAGTGGTGAAGTGTGCATAACCTGTAATCACACAAGTGAACACAGTTTTTTCTCCCATTAGATTCACACTCATTATTTAATGGTTTAACCCCATTACTGGTGAAACTAATCCTCCATAAGCACCAAAAGACAGTAGTTGAATTTATAAATAAAATGAAAATTCTTTTCATTCTGTCGTCAGTGAATCTATCACAAAAACAGAACATCAAAGTTATTCTACCACAAAAATAAAAACATTTTACAGCACGAGGACACAAGTCAGGCAACTAGTTGTAAACCTCCAACCTTTAAAATAACAAATAGGATGTATCCCAAAAGTTAATTATTACCTGTGCACAATATCCATGAGAACCACCAGACCTAGCTCATGAGCTCTATCTATCAAAGATTTGAGATCGTCAGGAGTTCCACAACGGCTGCTTGGTGCAAAGAAATTAGTGACATGGTACCTGAGGCATAGAAATGAAATATGCCTTTTCATGTTAAAAGTAAAGAAAACAAGAGTAACCAATTTATATGTACCAAATATGGAAGAATGCAGCCCAACCATATCAGGAAAAGTAAAAGAAAATTACATTAAGTTTCAACAAACATAAACATATATTATATACCAAACACAAATTACCCAAAGCTAGCATAATATGAATGCTCTTGAATGGCCATGATCTGAACAGCATTATAACCAAGCTTTTTGATGCGAGGGAGAACATCATCTCTAAAGTTGGCATATGAATTTAAAATTGGTTCCTGCATCTCAAAGTCAAGATCAGAACAGGAAACCTTTTATATCACCTGAAAGATTGAAGGGAAATATGAAAACATCTTGCAGAAAATTTTCCCAAAATAAGTTGATCCACACCAAACTAAACCTTGTGTCCAATCAGATGAGATCAGCTGCATGAATCCTTTTTTTGCCATCTTGCTCTGTTAAGGTCTATAAGGTTGATATGCTCATCTAAATTAAATAAATCCTTATCAAATTTTACTATCACATCTCATGTAAGTTTAGGTCTTCCCCTCCCCTTAACGTTTCCATTTATTATGATCATATTGCATATGCAGGACTTCCTTGTACATAAGCAAACCATCATCAATTTAAACTACTTCAAATAAAAGAAAATATGACAGTAATTATATTGGGGAGAATCTATGAAAGATGATATCTTCTATATAGTTAAGTTTTAAACAATACTTCTTAGAGGAAAAAAAGTTGGGAAGGAGTATTCATAGAGGTGCAAATAGATTTCAAGTAATTAACATATTGGCATTTTGAATAATCAAATCATAAATGGGAAATTAGTATACAAGAATCCTTGAGCATAAGGGTAAAATTTAAAGTTGTGGGAATTATCTCTACTAGACCGTGTTGCAAGAGTGAATAATATATTGCAAGAACTTATGAAGTAGTACGTCTAAAATCTCAGAGTGACGAGCAGGCTTTAATAAAGTTTACATGAACCATGTTTTAAGGAAATTTTATTTTTCATTCTTCAATTTAGTACGTCTGATCTCTTTTTGTAGTGGTGGCTTATAAGTTTCACGACATATGTTCTTTAGGGCCTTGTATACATCTGGTGGATTAGAGGATTTGGCCCTTGTTTAAGGTCCAATTTAACTTATGTACTCACGAATAAATAAATAAATAAATAAATACAAATTCTCAATATAATACAAAGGACGTTTAGTAATAAAAGAATTTTCTCAATAAAGAATTTCCCTTGCAATATAGTACATAAATGATATATATAAATAAGACAATAATAGGAATATTAAACATCCTTTTGTTAAATTATGAATTCCTACGAGTTTCAAACAGCCGAGAGCTAATATCAGGCCAAGTCACTTCATCTTTCACAGGTTCTCAATTAATTGAAAGATCAAGGTTATTACTCAAGGGGCAAGAATCCCCATGCAATTCATGAAGTACATAGTGTTCAAGGGTAAATGAGATCAAACAAGCTATGCACAATGCTAGCACAAGGCATAAGTTCCTGAAAATCAATGAATTCTGATCTCTTTCAGCATAAACTACCTAAAAGAAAAAATTTACAAAATATTCACTGAACAAAATAGAAATCAAGAAGACATCAACTGTCTCATACAGAATAAAGAATTTCCCTTGCAATATAGTACACAAATAATATATATACACATAAGAGGATAATGGGAATATTAAACGTCCTTTTGTTGAATTATGAATTCCTACAAGTTTCAAACAGCCGAGAGTTAATATCAGGCCGAGTCACTTCATCTTTCACAGGTTCTCAATTAATTGAAAGATCAAGGTTATTACTCAAGGGGCAAGAATCCCCATGCAATTCATTAAGTACATAGTGTTCAAGGGTAAATGAGATCAAACAAGCTATGCACAATGCTAGTGCAAGGCATAAGTTCCTGAAAATCAATGAATTCTGATCTCTTTCAGCATAAACTACCTAAAGGAAAAAAAATTACAAAATATTCACTTAACAAAATAGAAATCAAGAAGACATCAACTGTCTCATACAGAAAAGAACAGATGTCATAAAAAAAAAAAGAAAAAAAAAAAAAACTAGATAAGCAGTTGCAGTAGCAGTTACACTTCCATACAGACACATGTGGGGTCCCCAAGTACCAAAACTGAGACATGGAACATACTCATATATGTGATTTGTTGTGAATCAACCATATCAAACATATATATGGATATCTTGAAATTTCCATGCACACAAAAGAATTATTAAGAAAAAAAAATTAATAACACAAACAGGTTAGCTAAACTATACAGCATACCAGACTTGTTTTACTTGTCACCAAGGAAGCACGGGTGCGGGTGCGGGTACGGTACAAGTACGCCGTTTCGGCAAAACTCAAAAAAAGTATGATACGGATACGGCTGTGTTACGCCGATATATATATATATATTTTATATAATTATGGTTAAAGGATCCAACCTACAAATTAAAATTAAATATCAAAACTACAAAGAGAACTACTCATTTTCCTATAATTTAAAACCATTAAGCGTTAAAAATAATATTTGTAAAACCTCTCACTTTGACATGTTATGCACTGTAAATTTGTTACCATACTTTATTTTTAAAATCCTTTTTTTTGCTCATCAATTTGCTATTTTTATAGGGTGAGACCAAAAAAATAACAGGAGGCCAAAGAAAGATTTAAAGTTAATTGCCAACAGTAAAGGAAAAAATATTCTCAATTGAGGTAGGTTGTCAATTGCAATTTGCATAATACATAAAATTACATCATTCCCAACCACTACTAATCAATTAATACCGTATAAATTTTTAATGTTTTGTGCATAAATTTTAAAAGTTTGTTATGATTAAAGATTTTTATAAAAAAATTCTAGGAGGATCTGAACCAAAAGCATAATGCATAGTCATACACAGAACTGCCCTTTATAGGCCTTGTTTTTTTTTTTTTTGGGTTCAAATTGCCTTTTAAAACATCAAAATCATTTGCTGATATACTTATACAATTCATACAAATAGACAGGACAGCAGAGAAACATCAAAATTGATGATCTACAAGGGCACCCAAAAAAAAAAAAAGGCCCCGGCGTACCCACGCCGTACCCAAATGAACCAAACGTACCGGACCCCCTTTTACCGTACCCGGTATGCGTACCCATGGCGTACCCACGCCGTACCCGAATGAACCAAACGTAACGGACCCCCTTTTGCCGTACTTGGTACACGTGCAGCCGTACCGATACGCGTATCCGCACCCGATAAATACCCGATACTCGTACGACACTATTTTTGGAGTACCCGTGCTTCATAGCTTGGCACTCAAGATTCTTCTAGACACAAGTGAGCATCAATGTTACAAAAACAAGTACAAAATACATACAATCTGAATAAATTAGTTTTGCACATATATTCTAGGCAGAAAAGTAAGAAAGTTTCATGCGTGCATTACAAATTTAAGGATAAAATGAGGTTTAGCATGTGGTGCATGGTGCTCTATTTAAGAAAGGTTAAGAAAGTACGTAAAAACTATTAAGCATTGAATTCCAATTCATTACATGAGAGAAGGGAAAATGCACACCGTACTACTCATTCCAACATGTGACTCATATATCCTTAGTGACTTTGGTTTCTTTGGCCGAGGATGTTTAAATACATACTTCTCCTATAAAGAAAATGGCAAGAGCTTCATTAGCCAAAAAAACAGAGTGGCAAATTATAAGAATCAAGTCAAAATATCAATTTTATGGACCCGAATATCTGAAAAAATGAACAAAAGCACTGTAAACATTTGAAACAGACACAAAACTCCAACTACTTTAGTTAAAGTATAATTATTCTTCTACACTTAAGAGTCAGCTTGAACTTGATTTTTCTATAATTATAAATTATTACACATTCTCGAATAATTGCAGCAATAAATCTCCAGACAATTTTGTTATGGCCTCCTTTCTATTTTTCTTCTAAACCAATCTTCCCAAGATTACATAATTCCAAATCCTGAATTTAACTAAGTGATGAAGGTAGGACAATTTTAAATACTCAAAATATAGCAGCCTTATGAATGTTTCATGGTGGAAAAAGGTTACATAAAATATGTGGAGTTAGGGTTTGTGGATGAAGAACCAAAATAGGCTTGATTTTCAAACTATCAGCTTGCTGAATTTTCTGAGAACGTGTGATTTAAAGGTCTATGCAGATTGATAGTCAAAGGGTAGATGAAGGGTTTTTTTTTTTTTTTTTTTACCTGATTATAGATAATTTGGGGGGGAGGATAAATAAACAAACTTTATTAGAATGGCATCAAGGCGATGCAAATAATACAAAAAGAAAAACTCTCAAAAAACCTAAACAATCAAATCATCCACAAAAATCTACAAAAGCTAACACATCCGGGTCAACCGAAACTGTGACCCAGCTATGCAACACAGTACAAAGCCACCTCCCCAACCACAGAACCGAATGAGACACACCTTGAAAAGTATGCATATTTTGCTCCAACCAAATCAACTACATAATACACTAGGACGTAAGCATCCATGCCTTCTGACATCTCTTCCCTACCCTACCCTACCCTACCGTACCGCTACCACAACTCCACAACACCTCCACCACCAAACCCAGTTGGACCCAAGCCAATCCAAAAGTCGCAACAATAAGCATCCAAAGCCATGACGCTATCAGACAGTGAATAAGCAAATTATACACTGTCTCCGCATCACCACAACACAAGCAACATCAGTTCACCAAAATATATCGACGCCGAATCAGATTATCAATAGTCAAAATGTGCCCCAATATCGTCGTCCACACAAAGGAAAGCTACCTTGGACAAAGTACCTGCTACCTGGGCATCCTTACGAATAAGAACCCAATAAAAGGAGGACACCAAAAAGACTCCTTTCGATCGCGAACAATCCCACACCAAGGAGTCCTCTCACGCCCACCCAAACCGCAACCCATACAAGAAGCCCAAAAGATCCACCAATGGACTCAATTCCCAATCCTATAACTCCCGACACAAACTAATATTCCAAACAACCGACTATCGCTGCCCAACCCCACAAGAAGCCACCGTCGCCTCCCAATCAACCGCAATACAAAATATTGAAGGGAACTTCACCTCTAAAGGCACCTCTCCACACCACCTATCATTCCAAAAACGTACTCTATCCCCCATCCCCACTCGAAACCAAACCCTCTACTAAAACTCCTCACTGCCTAACCAAATCCCTTTCCCCAAACCCTGCCCATGACTTTGCGCTACCACCCATGTACACCAATCCCCGTCACCCAAGCCATATTTAGCCACCACCACCACCTTCCTCCACAGCCACTCCCTCTCTCCTACAAAACGCCACAACCACTTACCCAGAAGGGCCAAATTAAACGTAACCAAACTATGAATCCCCAAGCCCCCTTTATCCTTAGGAGAACAAATCCTCTCCCAAGACACTAAATGATAATGAAACACTCCCCCCCCCCCCCCCCCTCAAAAAAAAAAAGGGGGCTAGGAGTGATATGCGAAGGGGCTTAGAAGTAATGAAACATCGGAACAAATCCTCTCGCAAGGGGTTTAGGAGTGATATGGGCATGGTTATATATAGCTTTGAGGTTGAAAAGTGCACTTTTTGATGGGTTGTTATTCATGTAAAGAAGAGTCGATGGAAAGTGGTGTTTCACTATAAGGTCTGGAAAATTCACAAAAACACAATCTTAAATGAACTCAACTCTCTATTGCGTAGAAATGCTACGTGCATATTTACATGCTTCTAGACATTTCCTATCCCTACTCCTACAAGTAATATGATTCCAAAATTAGAAATTTGAGATTTTTTGACCAACTAAAATATTCTAGATCTAATTAAGTCTCCTTAGATAACCCAATAAAATAATTTTGACTAATAAGAAGACCCATAGATGACCCTTGCATCCCACGTCCAACAATTTACAAAATTACAAAATTTCTTTACTTGAACTAAACCTAAAAATGATTACATAAAGCCCTAGGTGTACTACATGTAAAATTCCAGATTTGTCCTTTTCTTTATTATATGCTAGTCATAACTAAATGTGCTATTGGGGAACAATACCTCTTCCGGTGGATCATAGTATATTCCATTATAAGGAATTTCTCCTGAAGCCTGTACCGAGAACTTGATCCAAGCAGGAATGGAGTCTTTAATACCAGAAGGAGTATCCATGCGGATCTACAATAACAATTAAAATAGTCATATTCAGCAGCAGAAATGCAAATACTTGTACAATATGTATGTATGTAACCTACTAAGAACTGTGTCAAGCCAAGGCAGCCCAGACTAAAACAAAGGCCCTAATTATCATATCCAAAAAGTGCTAGAAAGACCAAAAAAGAATATGAGTAAATTACAAGTAGTCCCCAACAGAGACAAAATGAAAGATATGTAATTGTACTTTAACATTGTTTTGATCAGGAAATGTGACAGCAACTTAAAGCAATCAACAGTGTCAACTAGCAAACTTGTAATATAGCAATTTGGTTAGCCAAACTTTTTGTATAGAGAAACTGCAATTGATGGGCCTTGGGCAAGACCGAGAGAATGATGGATGCTAATATTGCCCAAATCTTAAAGCTCAAAATATTCATCTGGTTCCATCGACAGCCCAAATTCTCTCTCAACCCCAAACAAAGCAAGTCAAATATAAAAGTAAGTTTATGTCTTTGTCAGCGTAAAGTTGGTGAAATGCTGGAAATAGCCGTGGATAAAAAATTTTAAATTCTTTAACCCTTGTCATGTGGAGTTTGTGCAAACAACCATACAGTAAGATCTGATACATCAAGAAAATAAAGCAATTACCTTGAGACACCAGTGAAAATCTAACTAACAAGACACTAAGGATGTTTTTGCTTTGCAGATGGAATAGTGAAGGATTTCATGTCCTAGGACATTTGATTAGGTGGGATTGAACTTCCCCAGACAAATTGTCCCGGGACATCCAATCCTGGGACTAGCTTTTACTTGATCCAGACAACTGGTGTTTGGTTGGTGCAGGATAATGGAGGGGATAAGGTGGGCCCTGTACAGTCAAAGGGGGCCAAAGGCACAGCTACAAAGGCTGCAGGGACAAGAAATGTATCTTTTTATTGGATGTGATTAACATATACATATATATATATACAAAATCTGTTTTCATGTACTTGATGGATTTCAAGAGTACACAAATTCACAAGCCATCATGAGGGTGTTCTTTGGTAGGCACAATAAGGCTTATCTTTCCATCCCACAAAGTAATAAAAAACAATCAAGAAAAAAAATAATAAAAATTCCCAAGCAGCTAAATGAACACATCCATTTGTGCTAAATAATATCATTTATCTAAATTAAAATTATACGAATATTACACTGTTCAGAAAAGAGAAACAAGCTTTTATAATTTTTGGTCATGAAGAAACTTAATGAATCATAAACATTAAATCACAATGTGATCTCAAATTCTATTATCATTTACAAGCTCATCCTGGAGATATTACCTTTACTTTTGAACCATGGGGAATTGGTGGAGAACCATCTACATTGTTCGGCAAAAAGATTTCCCAGACACCAAACTCATTCTGTTCATAAAATATCAATGATTTTAATGCTGTAATAAGTCACTGAACAACATTAAACAGAATTAATTCAGAAAATGGCATTAAAATGGTAAAGGTTTAATGCTCTGTGGATATTAGAAGGAGATCATCAAATTCAAAATAACAAATGTCCATTGACTGGCCTCCCTTTATCTGAACACCCACATAACGTGCTAATGATTTATCCAGCTGTCCATTATAATATTTTAATCATTGTAAAGGTAATGTGGACTTTCCTGTGATGCAGTACATAATTAAGAGGGGTTTGATCATTCAGTAACACTCATTGATCTCCTTCACCGAATCATTCGATTAGAGAAAGCATGATTCTGTCAAAGAAGCACCGTATAGAATCTTATCTTCTCTTGTTTCATGAACGTTTGACATCATCAGATGAAGCTCTACATGAGACGTCAGCAGTCCTTGCTCGCATGCATCATTAGTGCCATAAAGACATTCTGATTCTGGTGCAATTACATAGTAAATTGTAGATCCCAATCTTACAGTCCTTGCTTGCATGCATCATTATTGCCATAAGGACATGCTGGTGCAATTACGTAGTAAATTGTAGATCTCAATCTTATAATCTCCATAAATTTTACAGTGAAGATCTCAATAATTTCGGAGCTGATTTAAAAAATACCCAAGTTTAACAAAACTCTTCATCAGGGGGGGGAAAAAAAAAAAGATGGGTTAATTGAAGATTTTTCTGGAAATTTCGACACTACAAATCACACCAGGATTCATCTTCTTCACTGATTTCCTTGTGTTTAAAGTCATGGTTCAAATAAATTTCAGGAATAAAGATGGAAGGCTAATTGGAAATCAGGTTTTATATATGAAGCTTCAATGTGGTATACCAAAGTTCTGGGTCACTATTGAAATTCTGAATTTATTTATTTTTTGGATCAACAACAAAAAAAAAAGTAATTGCGTTAGAGATCATGCTTTTTTTTCTTGTGGGGGGGGGGGGGGGGGGGGGGTGTTGGCACCCAAAAGAAAAAGGAAAGAAAGCAAGAACATTTCAAATAAAATAAGAACCAACACCCTAATACAACCCCAACAAGAAGCCACCAAGTTACCAACAAATGATTTTCAATTTTCGGCATGCTCACAAAATATGCCTTTTCATTTTCTGTCATCAACTTCCATTTGTCTCCTCCAGCTTTTCTAATCACAATGGAAGATTTGATGTCTGGATGCTTCCCCCTTAAACTCTTACCTGAAGACACAAAATATTTTTTCTTCCCACATTTCCCTTTTAAATCCTCATGCCTCTTCTTTCCACTGTAATAATTGAACATTGTTTCAAAAGATTCTTTGTGCTTCAATCGGCTGGAGCTCTACTCCCTTGATCACCATCTTCTCTAAAAATTACTGGATTTGATACTCAACTAGTCTCACCTTTTGACAGAGATAGGAGATTTTCAAAAGTATTCTTCACTCCTCTCTTCCTCCATTGAAGACCACTCTGCAATTCATGCGCTACAGAATTAGCCATAGAAACCAAAGAAGAGACTAGGCCCATTACCCCAAGTCCATAGCAATTGGGTGCCATTCAGATTGCTTTTTGTCAGTTAAGAAAAAATATTTTGTTTTCAAACACAAGACTTCAAAGAATTCTGCCCAAATGAAGGCCCATAGAGACCCGTTCTGAACCTTCTACTTTTGGATTTTAAAAAATCCCTCCTTGAGTGCTCGTGCTCTGCCCCTTGATGAGCCCAATGCAAATGTAAAGCCCACCCCAATGCAAATGTGTTAAATTTGATGTATAGAAAAATAGAGAGAATGAAATATGTATTGGTGATTGATATTATTGATTGATGTATGTTATTCATTACAATGATTCATGATTCCTATATATAGAAGAGGGCGAGTGTGTAGTAGGTAAGGAGTAGGTGAAGTGGAGGTGGTAGTGGTGTAGTGGGTTAGGTTTAGTGGAATAGGTTTAAGTGGGTGAAGTAGGTGATAGGTTTTAACAGCCCCCCGCAAACTCAAGGGGGATAGGAACTAACCAACTTGAGTTTGGAGAGAGTAACAAAACAAGAAAATACACTACACTACAATGGCCAACCCCCATACAAGCCCCTTGTTCTCTATCCTGAACACTTTGGCCATCAAAAACACAATCCCCATCGAGTTTCTTCAAAAGTCGTTCCTCTACCCTCCATCATCTCGCTCGACCCAATCACAACACAATCCACCCTTCACTTTTTGAAATTGTCTCCCTTATATTGTGCAATGAGCCTTTGAAAGCATTGAATAGCAGTCTTATTGATTTCTGTTTTATAATCCTTGTAGAAGTGTTTATTGGGAAAATTGAGTGATTTTTACGAATCTACAACTAAGTTAATAAAAATACATAAAAATTCTCAGAAAATTCAAGTGTAAGTGTTTAATTTAGTGTTTTAGTGTTTTTTTCTGGAAGGCTTCAGCATTTTTTCTCGTCTATTCTCTTGCCATTGTAACTAAGTTGTGTCCCCTTCACAGCTTCTTTAATTTTAATTTTAAATCTTCCTTGGCAAATATCATCCGAAAGACAAATAAAATAATCAAAAGTTTCAAAGGGTCCCTTGCATGTAGAAAAAAAATATTGTGCACAACACTCGCTTCAACTTCCAAAGTGGCAACCCCTCATCAACGAAGGTGAACCTTTTCCTTCCAGTGCTCTGTCACAGGTTTAATGGAACTGCCTCCCAAACCCATGTACCCTCTTACTGACTCCTTTCCTCCTGAAACTACTTAACACCCAAGACACTGATCAGATTAGTTTCAACTAGAACCCAAATAAAGAGAAGAGTTGGGAACAAAACCCACTTACTGGCAAACAATGGATTAAATGATGCTTCACTGTATCTCCGCTACTTACATATATACACAACAATAATTAGAAAGGAGCCTAACTCTACCCATGAAGTTGTGATGAAGATCATGAAAAGAAGAAAAAGGGAAAATATGAAATTCATATGAAGCATGTTTAAGGCATCAAGGATTTAAGTTTTGGAATAATTGAGTCATTATTTGGATTTATTATAATTTATTACGTTGCTAAATCGATTTATATTATTATAGTAGGTTTTTGTACTTAGGGGTATTATAGTAAATTCAGTAATTGTTGGAATGATTAGTGGTCATAGTCCATGGGTCATCTTGGAGTCACGTAATGTTATTTGAATTTCATTTGGAATCCGAGTAGGTCTAGAATATTAGTATTTACCAAATATTCTTAGTTTTTAAATTTGAGTCAATCCCCATAGAAATAGGAACGTCTTTGACTAGAAATATATGTGCAAGTGTAATATCAATAATTCAAGGAGGAGTTGGTATTATGAAAATTTGAGATTGTATTTGTGTGAGTGGCCTAACCCTTGCAGGGTGAAACACCTCCCTCTCTCCGTCTCTCTCTCTCTATTCCTTCTTTGCACACATCCGAGTTACTATTCTCAGGTTACTGTTCACAGCCCCCTAAAAGTGCATTTTTCAGCCCCAAAACCTTATCTAACCACCCTCAAATCAACCCTAATCCCATCTCTTACCTACTAGCCTTCAATTTTAAGATTAAAACTTTAAATTACTCAATGTTGGAGCCCTTAAAAGCTTCGGTTTTGAAAATTCAACAAGCTATCATACATCAAGTTGTCTATAGACAAAATCCTCTCTAAGACAACTGCACAAGTTAAAAAGGCCTGTTTTGATCAAAATTCAGAGATCCAAATTGCTTTCCAAGGGAAGCTAGAAAGACTGACAGCCCCAGATCTCTACAAGAAGACCTCACTTCTAACAATCCCCCTAGAACGTTTACATTGTTAGGCATTACAAGTGTTAAAGATAATTCTTGCAGTTTTATCAGGCTAAATCATACAAGAGAAGACTCTATAACAATTTTAAGTCCACACAATCATGTCCTTCCTTCCCCACCAAAATACCCTTTTCTTTATGACCACAAATTTACTGGCCCCAAGGCCAAAATCTGCACAACTTCAAAGACCTTCACGTTCCCCCATCCTTTTTCCAAAAATCATCCTACACCTATTTTCACTTACTCTCCTATCCTTCAAATTCAATAGAGTTGCTACAACATTTTGCCAGTAACCAATTACATTCTCCTCCAAAATGCAATTTACTTAACCCACCATACCAAATCTAGCCATTCCCATGCCAAGAAAATGCTACAACCGATGGAGATCCCCAGTGCTCCCAGATCAATAATTTCTTAAGTATATACCACTAGAATAGCATCAGCCATCAAGTCAATAACAATGTGTTATTAATCCCATAACAATTAATAACAAAATATACTACACAAGAATGACAATACCACATCACAAGTTGCAGAAAACACAATATTATGGCTAGAAGTTAGATTCAGCAAATACATTGGCACGGCATCACTTTGTCAAACAATGCCACATTAGATTATTTTTAGACCACACAATACTCTTTGAGGAATTTGCTACAAAAACTAATTCCTGCAAATTGCAGCTGACAAGCATCTTTCGTGAGTACCAGGGACAGAAGTACAAGCTAATAAATCTCAAAGGAGTCAACTTTTAGTCCTTAAGCAGCCTTAGCAACTATCTCAGCTTTCAACCCCTCAATAATGCCACAAGGATGGAAGTTGATTGCTATGCCCAATGACACCTAAAACTTACTTGACCAGAGACACAATGAATAAAACTTGGGTAGATCTTCCTTCAACTCTGCAACACATAAAAAGAATGACCCGGTGCTTGAGGCTCCTGCAAAAGCAGGGTCTAGTGAGGGCAACAAGACATGTGCAGTCCTGCCCCTGCTTCTGGAGAGGTGATTTCCATGAAATGAATGCAAGCCCTTGTCATCCAACACATCCAAATAAAAATAGTGCCAGTTGAATCCAAATTTGACAAGAAATGGATACCAAAGTGAAGGAAAAGGTTGGAATACTTCGAACATTTAATTACACCAAGTTCATTAACCACACCAATACTATATACTTTACTAAGGCCACAGAGCTTGTGTTCATGTTACGAACATGGCTACATTTCAGCTCAACACAAATAACAAAAGGTTCTGTCCAGAAATGATATAGTTTTCATGAAAGCAAAGCAAACATTAAGCCAGGTAAGTTGAAGCATGGGATGACTCGGCAACTAAGTGGCATAGTTCAAAGTCTCAACATTAAACCATACATATCTTGTAAGTAATACCAATTCCTATAACGAAGCTTTCAAATAAATGAAAGACAACAGGGACTCAAAGCCATTTATTGCTAATCACCAATTGAAAAGAACATAATGGGAGCACATTCAAGGAAACATGCCAAAGCAATCTTCAAGAAAACAAGATGGTCATTTAATTTACTGTTATCAGAAACAGCAAAATCATATTACCTCCCTGGACCTCAGACATTTTACAACCACCTTCAATGCCCGCCTATTATAACCTCAGTTATCAGAATCTTACAATTCGCAATTTGATACACGATTTGATCCGTAATTTTTGCAAAATCAATACGAATCTATGGGTGAATCTATTTTGGAAGTGAATCTTTAGTGAATCGCACGATTCAAAATCGATTCACGATTCGATTCACTTTTTACGATTCATGCAATTTTTAAAATTATTGTGTCCGACATATTTTCGACTCTTTTTTTTCCATCTTTTTAGTGAAAATAACATAATACAACTTCTAATAGCGTTTAATACCAAAATAACCAACATATACACAGAATTTGTTGTTATTTTAGTAATCATGAAGTTTTTAATAGGATCCAATCAGATTCAGTCAGACCCAACATATTTTTAACCTCTCTTCTCATTTTTTTTTTTTCCCTTTAAAAAATCGTAATATATCCTCTAAAGATATTTAAGATTGAAGTTACACTATGAATTATCTATTGCTATTTTATTAAATTGAATATTATATGTGTGATGTCAGTTATACCTTTTAAAATGTTTTAAGCTTTAAAATAAAAGATTCTAAATAATACTTTTTATTATTTGCTCACTATTACTTAGAAAAATATGTATGCTTATTGTCCAAATATCAATATCATTGTTAATTATTGTTACTTTAGAAATTGATAGTTTGTCTATTTGGTTAATATCTTTATTAAGAATGGTTGATAAGAAATATCTAAAAAAGAAAAAAAATAAAAATAAGATAACAATCTTACATAATTATCTTTGTTAACTTCTTACCTATTAAACTAAGTGATTATCATTCAAAATAACAATTTTATTGATTTAAGTCTAAATATTTTATATTCATAAGATATATTTAACATCTAAATGTGTAGATATATATTTTTAAGTAATTTAGAAAAAATGATCGAATCTTTACGATTCGTGATTCAATTCGATTCAATTCGCAATTTGGTACGAGGCCATTTCAATTCACGATACGAATCCCGATTTGACAACTATGATTATAACTACTATAACACACCTCTAGTTTATTTCATTTTGGAACAAGATAAAGTTAGTAATAGTATATTACACTTAGTATACAATAAATAATGAAAAGAAACAAACAGATTGACGAAAACTAGGCATTTATTTGAGAGAGAGAGAGAGAAGCACAAAAAAAAAAAAAAAAAGGAAAGCAGAGGTTATGTACCTTTTGCAAATTAACATATAAAATGATAATAGAACAATTCCAACAATTATCTGCGGACTTAATTAAGAGCTGGGGCTGATACTTTAAGAAAACTGAGCAATTATAACATACCCGAGTCATGATGTCAGCATTAGGATTCCAATTGTTGAAATCTCCAATCAACGCTGCAGACTGGAATTTGGCAGAGAGAGGAAAGAATTATTTAATTATATACAACCTAACCATTAATTAAGTAAAGAGATGAGACACGACCCACGACGCACTGACACTTCAAAACAAGTGCTGTATCCGTGTTGGACACACGGATACTTCAAGGATACGCGGACACTTCGGAGACAAGTATGGGACACACCACATGGCATGTCCCCTTATTTAATTAATTTATTTTCAGTGGACACTTTGGTGACACATTAAGGCCATGCCAAGTTGTCTTTTCCCCTATTTTATTTAGTACTTTTGATGAATATTGAATGTTTATTATTTTTTTCACATATTGCAATACTGTTTGGTAATCATTTCGTTTTCAATTTTCAGTTTTCAGTTTATATTTACAAAAATTTTAAAAACTATCATAAAAACTTACTTGGTAACTTTTTTGATTTATAAATGGTTGTTTTTGTTTATAAGTTTGAGGAAAAAAAACGTAAACTCAAAAAATGAGCTTACGTTAGTTTTTAAACAGAACTTTAAAAATTTGACTAACAATTTTTTTTTTCAATAATTTTTTTTTCAAATAATTTTTTTCAATTATTTTTTTAATTAATTTTTTTTTTCAATTATAATGAGTATGATCCCATTGCCATAAATAATAAAAAATAAATATAAATATTTTAGGCCTAAACAAACATATTTTTTAGTTTATGTTTTTAAAATTTTTCAAACATTTTGTTCAAACCAAACGTGTTTGTATGTAGTTTATGTTTTTCTAAAAATAAACAAAAACCAGTTTACAAAATTTTTCTAAATATAAACCAAAAACGTAAACGTTACCAAACACTACCTTAATAAATCATCCACAAAAAAAAGATATAAACTATAAGTGTTAATTTAAAAGTGTTTTTTTTAAAAAATAATAGAATTAAAGTTAGTTTTTGTTAATATTGATTGTTTGTGGATGTAATATTAATCTAGATAGCAAATAAAAATATATGAAAACATATTTTATTGTCGTGTTCTTGCCATGTCCATGTCCCCATTTTTTTTTTTTTGAAATCACCGTGTCCAATGTCCGCATCCGTATCCGTATCTGTGCTTCTTAGGACACGACAAATAATAGTAGGGGAAGGAACATGATTTGCTGGTGCTACCACTCAAGTCTAAGAAGCACGGACACGGATACAGATTAGGACACGAACACAGACACATATGCGGACACAGGATACGGGGATTTCAAAAAAACTGGGACAAAGACACGGCGGGGACACGGCCATAAAATATGTCTTCATATATTTTTATTTGCTATCTGGATTAATATTCCATCCACAAACAATCAATATTAACTAAAACTAACTCTAATTCTATAAATAAATTTAAAAAACACTTTTAAATTAACACTTACAGTTTATTTTTATTTTTTTTATGGATAATCTATTAAGTATTTAAATTTAAGAAAAAATAATAAATATTCAACATTCATCAAAAGCACTAAATAAAATGGGAGCAAAGACAACTTGGCATGTCACTAGTGTGTCCTCGAAGTGTCCCTAGTAAGTCCCTAGAAAATAAATTAATTAAATAAGGGGACACGCCATGTGGGGTGTCCTATACGTGTCCCCGAAGCGTCCGCGTGTCCCCTAAGTGTCCGTGTGTCCAACATGGATACGGCACTTGTTTTGAAGTGTAGGTAGGTACTTCATAGACTCAAGTTGTAATGATAAATGAAACCAAGAGTAGTAGATTTTGAAGATTCATTCACTTGAAGCCTCAAATAACAGAGCACAGAATGAAAGTATCAATAGTCTATGGATAGTTCATAACTACTCCACAATATAATCACCAAACTGCACCATTTAAATACAAGACTGTGACAAGTAATTTCCTAACTAAAAATACACCGAACTACACAAATTGAAAAATCTATAAGCACAGCAGCAATCAAAATATTTTTTAAAAGAAGTTCCACCAGTGAAAAAAAGAGTAAAACACGCAGAGGGACAAAACTGGAGGAGAAACAAACAAACCGCCAGCAAAGAGTTCTAAAAGGGAAAATTGGGGAGAAATGCGGCCAATTGGCAAATAAAAACCCATTCATGTAGGTCCACAACTCCATAGATAATGTCAATCTAACCTAATAGCCAATGCATATTCCGAAAAAGTTTTTGGTTGGAGAGTATATAACCTTGGACTGAGCTAAATTTCATAAAAATTTAAAGCTTAAACTCAAGTTTGGAGACAGCTTGGGTTGAGTTTAGTCAAGTCGAAAACACACTGAAAGAATTATAATCCATTTGGCAAAGCCCTTTTTTTTTTTTTTTTGGGGGTGATAAATAAACGTTCCCCATTTGAAAAAACTTATTTGCAGCTTATGTAACTTACAATTTGAATATTCCACAGACATGCAGTAGTATTTTGAAAAGTGGCTTTCAGCTTATTTACTTTTTCAGCTCAAAAGGCTAACTTTTTTTACATTGAGTATGCATGAGATGCTTTTTTCAAGCTGCAAAGAAGTTATTCCAACGGGAAAATGTATATATATAAATTATAAGTTTTTACATTTGTTATGGATGAACATACTACGAAGATATAGTTAAAATTTGTATCTCTTGTACATTGTCTCATCTTTCCTTCTATGTATTTTATTTTTTACACATTTTTTTCCTGCTCGTAAAGATCTAGCAAATGCCAATTTTATTTTATTTTTTCCATTCTTCAGTCTGAAGAATAAAGACAGTTCTTCAAAGATATAATTGGATTAACTAGGAATCCAATTGTAAGTTTAAAAAACAAAACAAAACAAAACAAAAAAAAGAAAAAAAAAAATCACTAATCAAATGCCTCAAATGGCTGACTCGGCTTCAAAATATCCTAACTGAATCCATTACTTTTAGTTTCTGCTAATTATCCAAAAGAAAAGAAATGCACATCTTCAATTTCTTTTTTTTAACCATTGTTCCCAGTTAATTTATGCTGCACACTAGCACAAGTTCAGGCACATGATCAAATTTCTGAAAAATCATGAATCTTAAACAAGATTGTCGACAGCCAGGACTTTTAAAATAATATCTAGGCAGATGCAGAATAAAACTTCTCAGTCCAAAGGATCAATGCATTTGTCGAGCATAACTAAAACATAATTTTGAAATACGGAAAAAGAACTTTGCAATACATAGGTGAAGCAAAACTAACCTTAGCTCCAGGCGCCCACTCCCTATACATAACACCTGTGGCACTGGAAAACCAATTTAGATGAAGATCAACAACTGAAATATTTTCCAATCACGGAAAGACCATTTTGTTAAAAAAAACACAAAACAAAACAAAACTTTATTACAGAAAGAAGCAATAAAATAAGGTTCTGAAACTTGTTTAGAAAAAATACAGGCTTACCAAAAACTGCTTAGAGATTACAAGAACATTAACCATGTGTACGATTAAATGCAGTACAAGGCAGAACAAAGAATCCATAATTAAGTGCCACGAACTGTTACAATAAAATAAGATAACTCCCCCGATTGTCTCCAACTCAGCCTCTTCCAAATCAAATTCAATGAGTGCCACTGTCCTTTCCTTTCAAGCATTAAATGTCATTGGTTCAATTTAAAAATGATTTCAATGTAAAAAAGAAAGTAATTGTCACTGGCATAGAAATCCTTCCACCAACTGTTACAACAAAAATAAGAGAATTGTCCCTCTTCCAAATCAAATTCAATGAGTGCGCCCTCATAATGTCCTTTCCTTTCAAGCATTAAATGTCATTGGTTCAATTTATAAGTGATTTAAATGTAAATAAGAAAGTAATTGTCACTGACATGGAAATCCTCTCCAGCCTTATTATGCCTCTCACCTTTAAACTTCCATACTAGCCACACATCTATGCCTCACGACTCTCAACAACCACACCAGACACATCACTGCACCATGCTCATTGCAAATGGCACCATCTCTCAAAAAAAGATGTGGACAATTTTGTGATGGAGTACCCTTTTAAACTCATGGAGTGAGTACTTCGTAATCTTTTTTGTCAAGTACTTTTTAAACTATATTTGGCAAACTGAAACACCATGCACATTGCACATGCCACCATCAAGTCAACTCAATTGTTATTACCTTATTTATTTTTTAACCCATACCAATCCAAATGAAGGCAGTGCCTGATTGTAAGTCTTTGGTACCACCCAAGGAGACTTACCAGCTAAGCTAGCTGCCAGCCTGCCACCTTCAATAGTTACTATTGTCACAATGTAAATCCAATGATAGAAACGAAAATACATCCACACATCCAAAAATATATTAAATTGGTGAGTTTGAATGCATATAATATGTTTTCTACAGGTATTCTGCCTTTTTCAAAAAATGGACAGTAATTTTGGGGTGGATGTAAATCAACAGCATGCTCCCATGAATAGGAAATACATAACCTTTCAGTTTGTTCTTTTACCAACTGTCTTTAGGATCATGTTTACATTTGTATCTTTCTTAGTCTTTTAATAAAATTACACGGATAAAGAATGCAAGCATGAGTAATAGTAATCAAAATAGAGCATTTAGATATTAGGCCGAAAGTGCACTATACTGGTTGCCACAATGTTTATGCAATAAAAACAAAACAAAACAAAATGCATGAACATCAAGCTATAGAGATTAATAAACAAATATACCTGGAGGTGAAACCAAACTTCTCATAGCCACGAGAAAACACTTCCAAACCACCTTCATTCTTGTCAATTGTCTCACGTATTTTTTTGTAGTGTGCATATCTGCAGTTCGACAAATATACATGGAAAAACCAGATTGATTAATTCTTCGACATCAAATGTTTTGCTAATTAAAAAGATGAAAAACAAAAACATATACCAAGGCCCATGCAACTTTTACTTATCAAAAAAATATATACATACACAAAGCCCATGCAACGCATACTTATCAATACATATACACACAAGCCCATGCACATGCATATATACAGACAACAAAAAAGATAACAAATTACACATTATACAACAGAGAATGATTGAAAGGTTCCTCACAAGCAGAAAATAATTAGCAAGGTACAACAAAACAAAGGCTAGGGGTCGAACTTGCTTTTCACTGCAAAGTAATTAAGCTTTTGGATTCAGTCCAGACATTATAAGTCCCAGAAAAAAGTCAGTCAACCAATGCTATCAGATCCAACACATCCCAACCAGTGGAACCGGTGAACAAGCAAACTAGAGCATTAGGAAGGGTACATGCCCAGGCTTATAGGCAATATTGCTTCTACAGAACAATATTCAAACATATAGTTTATTCTCCTTTTTATATCAATGTCCAGTAGAACATGCATCATTGTACACAAAGTATTTTGAAACATAAATATACGTAACTTTTCACAGGAATATTTCAAAAAAGTATTAACTAATACTAATATTATCAACTAATAAGAGTGTTTTATTATTAGACCATGGTATTTGATTCGCCAAATACATCATTATTGTATACTCTTTCATATATATGGCACAACCCAATTCTTATTTTTTACTCCCCTTTTTGAATAATATACATGTAATTCCATTACATTTCAGAGATTTTTTTCTACTACAGTAAAAGATGCAAAATAATCTCAATTTCCAATAATTCTCCATAAATTTATAAATTTGTGAAACCTATAGAATCTTACAAATATATGTTTGTATTATCCTGATTCAATGGTGTGAACCCCAGTTGAACAATTGAACCATTGAACCAATCCCCAGACTGATATTAAAATCTAGTGCCAGATAGATTACAATGCATCATAGTTGACAATATTTGTGAATCACTTTGGGCTCCAAACTGCTTGTGGAAGCCTTGTGGGCTTGAAAATACTTCTAGATGATATCCAAGACTTGTATTGTGATCCAACCATTTGGTGTCTACTTTTTCTTCTTGTCAAAATGCAGCCTGCTGCATAATTAAACTATTAGGTTTCAAAAGCATGGAGGATTTGGAAAGCAAAGTAACCAAGAGGAGCAGGTGATCATTAGAGATAAGTGCTACTAGTGCCTTACCAGCTAATTAATTACTAACCATATTTTGAAATTAACCAACATAATCAAAGAAAGAGAGACAAAAACCAAAATAAGAATAGATTCAAGAGGTATAAAAACAACTTAGAAAACCAACCAATGTGCTTGTAGCACTCCGTACTTCTTGGTATTATGGAATTATTTTTGACTCTTCGATTATTATTATTGAGAACCTTCGTAGTCGATATTTGAGCCTTGGTTGAGGTGTTACCATAGTAGTTGGGCGAGATTGGATCAAAAACTCCAAACTCGAATTGTTGTTATTGAGTAGTCTTCACTCTTTTATCATTTTCTCTCTCCACACTTTGAATCTTGATGTGAGGTTAGAACCAATGGAAATTTTACTTCCGGGGCTTCAATTTGGACACAAGGACAACCCTAAAAGGAGCCTAGAAGAAAGAGTTATACCCATTAGAAGTTTGCAAATCTGTGTTGCGTTCATAGTTCACTCGAGCGCAAATTTTACCACTCGAGTGGTCCATAAACCCTTCCAGTTCTGTTTTTCAAAATTATCTGAGATACTGGAAGCCTTGATTCACCGCTCAAATGCACTTTTGACCGCTCAAGCGGTCTGTCCAAAATCACATCTTTAAAAGTCACTTTTTGGGTCAAATCTTTTCACTTTTCAGTCTCTCTTCTCTCCCTTTCCGCCATTTTTGAGTTTTAAAGCTCTTTAATCTTGATTTCATCTATTTCTAAACATCTTTGACCTCTAGATCCATATACCAAAACGTAGAGCTCGGCGAGAGCTTCCATTTAATCCGAGTGGATCGTTGTTTTGTTGCTGGTGATTTTTGGGTTGTCTCATCTTTGCTTCAAGAGGTAGGGATTCTTTTGCTCCTCTTCAATACCTCTTTATAGATAAACATGTGGTAGTTTTTAGTGCATTTAAAAATATGTTTGTTAAGAGATTTTCCAAAAGCATGAAAGGCATTTGGTGTGAGTTTTTGGGAATTGGAATTTTGTGATTGTTGGTTGATTTGGTATGTTGGGAGGTAGTTAGTCACGTCTATGTTGATTGTGGTGAAAAGCCCTAATTTATTTTTAAGAATTAATAAACAGAAAGGGGCAAAGTTGGGTAATAATTGGGTTATGTGTTATGAGATTGAATAAATGCTTATGAGATTTAACAAATGCTTTAGGGGATTGAATTAATGCTTTGGTTGTTAAAAGGGATTAACTGGGTCTAGTAATTACTTTGCTTGTGTTGTGTTGAGTTATGTTGAAGTTGTATATCTTAAAAGAGGGTTTTATTAAAGGAATAGAAGTTTTGACAAAGGTGTTGGGGTTTTGGAACAACGGGTTGGGCTTAATAAAAAAACTATGTTGGTAATTCTTTTGGTATAATGAAATAGAAAATGGTTGATTTGAAATGGTGAAATTAGTTGTGAAATTGAGTTGTAAGAGTCTTGTATTTAAATGTTAAAGGTTTTGTCCTTGGTCATCGATGGAGGATGACATTATTGTTGTTGAATAAATTATGTGTATGTAATACACTTGTGTGGTAGTTATGTGATCTAGCATGTTATAATGTGGTTCGAGGTTCGTTTCTCTCCGGTTAAGCCAATAAAGCGTGGCGCCTTGACAGAGGTTTCTCTCCTTTCCAGTTTGCGCCCGGTAAAGTATGAAATTAAGATTCGTTTCTCTCCAGGTAAAGCGTGGCGCCTTGAGATAGGTTCCTCTCCCTTCCGGTTTGTGCTCGGTAAAGTGTGACCTTGGGGTCGTTCCCCTCCGAGTGAAGCCGGTAAAGTGTTATGTGTTATGTGAGTTGTATTATTTGCCATCCGTATTGTAAGCCAATGGAAATAGAAGTATGTATTACGTTCAATTATTTATATTTAGAAATATATGTCTTCTCGGTATCTTGTTATGGGGGTTCCTTACCCTTGGGCCTATGGTCAGGGAATATAGTAGAAGTGTTGTTGCATATGTGTATGTCGTGGGTTGAGTTATAGGATTAAGTTACGACTCGTATATGTGAGTGTGCTTTTAAAATAAATGTGGAGACAGATTTCTTTTATATTAACGTGGAGGTTTAAAGAAACACGGTTGTATTGTGAAGGAATGCTTTTGGAACTACTAGATAATTGGAAAGAAAACAAATGATTTTACACCTTGTGGTGTTCAAATGGACGTTTTTGGAGAAAAAATACTTATATAAGTATATTTTGAATATTAAACTATCACAGTATTTATATTCTACGCCACGGTGCATTCATGATCATAGATATCTGTAGGTTGTTATTGTTTAGAATCATGTTGGGACCTCTACTAGACTTTATATTCATCCCACGTTGCTAATCATTTTTCATGTGCAAGTTGAGAGATGATTCAAAATCAGTGATCTTCCTTAATTGTTGGCCACGGGGCCTATACTTGTTGGCGGAACACCATTGTTGTAAAAGGGTTAAACCCTTACCTTTAATGTAAAGATGTAAGCCTAAGGGCATTTCCTTTAAATTTAATTCCTATTGCATTTCATATATATATGATTGAAAGGACTTTCATTTATTTATCGATGTAATGTATCTACAGTTCCACATTTTCTTAATGGAAATGGATTTATGTTAATGAATATGGTAATGTTATTCGAATAATAAAAAGTGGAGCGTGACAGTGCTGGTAAGGAATCAGTTTAAATAGGGGGAAGGTGCCAAAAGGACAAGAGAAAAGCCACAAAAAACAAGGTTGAGGTGGTCAAAAACATATGATTGACATGGATTTGATGGTGGGTATGGCTTTATGTTAACCTAACTAGAGAAAACAGATCCATATAACCAACCCTGCCAAGTAGTTGGACTAATTCTAGCTTACTTGAGTATAATATCAAAGAATAAGATTAATTTTCAAAGAATAAAAAAAAATAAGGTAAAAAGAAATGAATCTAAGAAAATTACTAGCTGAAATATATTAAGCTTCTCTTCTTCTACTGTCACAAGTTGAGAGCGGGCTTCACAACTATAATTATATCTTCCGCATAGCTGCAAACCACCCTATCCCCTGTGATGAAGGAAAAACTTCATTCAGGACTCTAGGACAACCAGGTTTATGGAAAAAAAGGGTTTATACAATAAGCTCTTTTGATCCCCTTTTCCTCAACATCTTTTCACTATTTTCACTAATACTACAGGTTTATGTTAGATATCATGACACCAAATATGAATACGTAACTTCAAGCCCAAGAAAGCAGGCGTCAAGGACTTCAACTACAATTGAACATTGAGGACTCTAAAGAAACACTTTCGTCACAAAAGGATAAAAGGAACAAAAAAAATAACTGGAAAATATATATATATATATATAACAGCCTGATCAACTACAATTGAACAGTGAGAACTCTAAAGAAACACTGTTGTCACAAAAGGATAAAGAGGAACATAAAAACTAACTGGAAAATATATATATAACAGCTTGATCAACTGAGAGTACCATGGCTTGAAGGTGCAACACCAACCAATGTTTCACTTTGCTGCTTAAATATTTTTTCCAATAGGAATGTAACTTATAAAGCAAAAAATGGAAAGTATCTCACCGATAATCAAGATGTTCACGGTGACTTCTCAAAAGTGGATCTATTTCATATATCTTTTGCCCAGTGCCGGGGGGAGGAATGGATTTTTTTCTAACCACATCCTTTTCTCTGCTTATATGATGTGAAGGGACAGGTGTATCCACATCCTTAGCTTTAACATCTTTACCTGCAGCAGTGGAAGAAACAGAATCGTGCATGCCATCAACCACAATGCCACCACTGGTTGTTTGTACATGATTACTATCATCCTCGATGTCGCTATCACCTTCCATCATTACATTATCTTCATCATGTAATATCTGAAAACAAGAATCATGACCAGATACAATCAGAGTGGGAAAATATAGCTCACTCAATTAAGATATTAAAAAGAAACCAAGATGAGCACCGAAGAGCACATGAGTTATTAACAAGATTGAAGCCATATAGAATATTACATTCACAAATGAAAAGTTATGTTACATACAGAAACTAACACAGGTTAGATTAGATGTCAAAAGAGAAATAAAAGCAGTCAACACAGAGAGCAAAAATATATGGAAACTAGATGATACTTGAATTCCTCTAGGTTTTTAATGGGAAATGAGTCGCCTAGTTTCCAAATAAATTCTTAAGTAATTTATAAATCATGTACAGTTATACAATCCTTGCAACAAACCATTCAAGCTGATGGTGATGTGTTAATGAATTGAATTCTAGTCTACTTGAACTTTCTTCCAAATTTTATCCAGATCAAGCCCTAATATTGAGTTGCATCATACCGAGGGTTGACATTCCCTATCCCTCATCTTATTTCTCTCTCCTCATCTTTTCTTTTTCTTTTCTTTTTGGTGAGGGAAGAGAATAATTAACAAACACCACATTACATTCCCCCACCTCATTTTCTGAATTCAGGTCCACTTTTTAGCTAGATGCTTATTCTTGTAATACGTGCCCTAGAAGTGTCACCCAAAAACACTAATACCCTAGGACTCATATTTTGGGCCATTATGCTTCTAAAATTGTGCATTATATGATTAATTTGAAGAATAACAAATTCTCTTCTAGGGATGAAAGCAAGGTTGTTAACATATTATCCATTTTGAGAATTTTTTAAGTTGTTTCTAGGCTTTTAAAACTTCGCTCAATTCCAAGCAATTTGAGGGCACTTTGAAAGTGAATTCTTATATCCAACTTAAACATGAGCACAACCCAAAGCAAATTATAGGGCTAGTATGATGTGATATCCAAGGCAAACACAAAGCCATAATGATTTGAGTCTCCATACGGTCAATCCTCAAGCACACTCTACACCATAAGAAGGTCAAAAAGAGTAAAACTATAGCAATGAAGTTCAGAAATTATTTGGTTTCAAGCCGAACCCACTTGCAACAAATTGAAATCTTGTGTAATCAAGTTTTTAAGATATTGGAGTCTTGTTTTATAGTTAGGTTAGGTATTAATATGATCATTTTCTTACATGCTTTCTAATATTTCATAAATGAATTATATGGTGCGTAATTTGCAAAATTTTTTGATATGGGTTGTAGGGTCGCCCACAAGTTGCTTTATGGGTCAAGTTATTTAGTTGGTTTCTATTTATAGGTCTTCGCTGGTTTTAGAAAGGTTTTAAAAGTCAAATTTTTAGTAATTTCCTTTTCAGAAATCCTAATCCTAGTTGATGTAAGAAGCTTCTAAAGTATATACAAAGCCATATAATTATTTCTAATTCCGTGGAGAATATGCTTTGAAGAATTTTATAAAGCTTTTCGAGATCTTTTGAGGATTGTGTGATGCAATCAAATCCTATGTGTATACCGAAGGCCTATAGAAGTGAGTTTTAGAACTATCTACTTTTTTATCCTTCTCCATTTGTTGAACTCTCTGTACCTCAGCAGCCTAACCAGATTGTTCCTTTCAATCTTGCAGACCATTCTCTGAGCATAAACCTTCAAATCCTAATTCCCAAACCTTAGATTACCTAAAACAATCCAAAAGTACTTACTGTTCACAGCACCAAGAACACCCCCAAATTTCATTCCCGTTCCCTATTTAATTAACCCCAAAACCGTATGTTTTGTTACCCCCATGCAAACCCTTAAAAACCCTATATGTTTTACAAACCATAAAACCCAATTAAAATCAACCCCAAAAGTCTAGGAATTCAGTTGCATATATTAATTTCAGGCTCACTACTAGTGGAGAGTAACACCCTACTCGTACTACAATTTGGAACAGAATTCTTGGTTCAAATATGCCATCTTACCACCAAGGGTGCATCAATTTCTGCAACAGTTGGATATAACTGACCACTCATAGATAAAACAAGGAGGAGCACACGGCCTTTGAAATATGCATATAGGTCTTGGTGTGTTTTTGATGTAGTTAGAACTGTTATGGTTGTAATGTTTAGCACCATAAAAGTTAGACTTAGGGATTGTTTGGGATGAACTATATAAGTACACTTTTTGACTTTTTGAATAAAAAAGTAAAAGAAAAAACGATGGTTGCTTGGGATAACTTTTTGACTTTTTACAAAAAAATGTGTATTAAAATATTATATAAAATAACAAAATTACCATATTACCCCTAATGCCTCATATGCGTACTGATAGTGATTGTTTAGGAAGCCAGTATGGAGCGTTGCTTTGAAGTTGTGTGGTGGGCAACATACTTCAGAAGATATATAGGAGCAGCTTGCCTCTAGTCCAAGATTGGACTAGACGGTGCTGTTCGGCCCGTGGGAACCCACCACGGGTCCCCACGGGTCCCGTTTTGATAATCCGAACCGTTCAATATGTAAAAATCATCGAGTAATATATACTTGTAAAAAATCACGTTGATCGGATATCGATAGCTATCTCATTAAATCAGTTTTTTGTCAACCATTAATTTGTCCACCGTCCATTTTTTTTATACAAAACTGATTTGATCATATAACTATCGATATCCGATCAACGTCATTTTTTATAGGCATATAGTACTCGATGTGTTCTACACATTGAACGGTTCAGATTATCAAAACAGAACCCATGATGGGCCCCCACGGGCCGAACAATACCGTCCTGTGTAAATTTTTTGTGCACCCGCCTGTGTAAATTTGTACCATCACTTCAGAATGTACCATCACTTCAATACAAAGTTGGCTTGTACTTTTTTTTGTGCACCCGCCTATGTAAAAAAAATATATATATATTTTTTTTGGGTGAATAGTGATAACCTTTTGACTTTTTGTCTTTTATAGATTATGCCAAACAAGCACTTAGTTGGGTCTTTATCTTATAAATAGGTGGTTAGGCCCCTCTAGTATTCTGTTGATGATATTTTGATATTGAATATCTTATAAATATGTACCCATTTTGGAATTTTCTCTCTCTAATGAATTCATTTCTTGATTTGGCTGCATCAGTTTTGTCTATGAAAGAGTGAGCTAAAAATACATGTGTGTGCAATATAAACGTACACATACTACCTGGGGATCTCCTGAAACTGTGTCGACAACTTCCAACCGCTCTGTTGAGGATGAAGGGAACTCGCTCTGGTCACCTGGAACTAGGACTTTCTGAGATGCAGCAACTACAGAAGATAGGGAGTCCGAATTGTCAGAAGACTTTCCGGCAAAAATCTTCCCTACAAATGAACAGCAAATCAGCTTCACATCCTTGTAATATGTAGGCATTTATGATTTGAATTAAACAAGACTGACACTTCCAAAACATACCAGCTGATTAAATTCATCTCCTAGTTAAGACAAGGACCAATTAATTATGTGTTATGAACATTATGTAATTAGTCCTACACCATCACAACGTCCGATAATTTAAAAAATTAAAAACAATAAAAAAAAAAAAAGCTATTGGTATGATTATCCAGTTATAAACAATGTACTTTTCTTTTCATCTTCTCAAATACAACTATCCAATCCACAGAAAAAGAGACACCCATTAACTTTTATTTTTTCAAAAGATGAGCTCATATTACTACCAATCACTTAATTTATAAGTTCTATTCTACCATTAAAGAATTAGAGAAACTTTACAAGTCGACTCCCAAAGACCAATAACATATCTAAAATGATTGTTCACACACACACCACTACAGACCTGGGCAAAACAATTAAATTTCACAAAATCAAAGTCCCACTCAAATTGATATCTATGACCAAAAAAAAAAAAATCTCCAACTTACTATACAGCAACAAATATTTTTTTTATCACACAAATCACAAACCTAAGGCCTCGTTTGGGAACAGGCTAATTTAGTAACTTTTTTACTATTTGATTAAAATATGAGCTAAAAAAAATCAGAATGTTCGGATATTTTTTGACTTTTTACGAAAAGATGTGTAAAAAATAGAGAGAACAGAGAATATTTGACTTTTTGATATGAATTGTTGACTTTTTGACTAATTTAGTAACTTTTTGACTTTTTCACTAAAATGGAGGTTCCAAACGAGGCCTACATACACAAGAACAAAACATGTTCACCCAAGATAACAAACTCAATGTCATCATGAATTAAAAAACAAAACAAATGCATAAGTATTCTTCAAATGCATATATATGTGTGTGTAGAGAGAGAGAGAAAGAGAGTACGGGAAGAAGTGTGGTTCTTGAACAAGAGCGACGGATTAGTATTCTTTCGGTCGCCATGAGAGCTCGATCCAGAGGACTTGTACACGAATGGCGCAGAAAGGAGTCGAATCCCAGACATAGTGTACACCATTTCCTAGGGTTTCACACACACACAGAAAGAGAGCGAGAGCGAGAGCGAGAGAGAGAGAGAATTTTGAAACAGATCTAAGAAGGTTGGTTGTATATTGGTGAATTCATTCAAGGAACCGTGAAAGAGAGAGAGTGATCACGAGAAGCCAGTCCACTGGGGATGATAGTGTGTGGGATCCACCATAGTGTGTGGACCTCCACGTCACGTGGGGGTGTTTTGCTCAAGATCAGAAACGAAAGGCCACATCGACTTGTGGGTGTGGTATTCGAGGGAACTCGGAGCAGCGATCTGCTGTGAATTTATAGAGACTTTTTCTGAATTTTTTTTAATAATATGAACCGTTCATATTATAGAGTTCATTGAGTATATCATTTAAGTAAAAAATTAAATTAATTAAAAATTCGTAACTCTATGATCAGATTTAAATTGTTTTGCAAAAATTATTAAGATAATATCAACTGTTTATTTTTTTTAAAAATAAATATACTCTTGTTATAAAGTTATACATTTTTAATTAATTTAATTTTTTATATGAATAATTTATTCAATAAAATTTACAATATGAACGGTTCAAATTATTAAAAAAAAACCTTCGCAACATATCACTACTGTAATTTAGTCACAGCAGCCTCCCAGATACCATCTTTCGAGTAACTTTCCGGAGAAGTATATTCCTAGCTTTATACTAAAATCTTAAAAGGGCTTTTGAGTGGCGGGTGATTTTCCGCTACGATATGTTTAGGGATCCGGCCTTATAGTTTATAAAAAATCAAAAGTTAAAAAAATATTAAAAATATTAAAAAATTTATATTATTTGAGAAGAATTTAAGATTGATTTGAGATATTCTAAAAAAATATATTTTTTGATTTATTGGTTTATATGGGTTGGATTTGATGTAATGTATTAAAGAGGTGATTGATTTAAATAAGATGATGTGACTTAAATAGGATAATAACTTTTTGACTTTTTGTATTATTTAGTTTATGTCAAACCAACCCTTAATAATTTTGTTCCTTGAATTTAATTATTCAAAAGTCAAAAATTAACAAGGATAAAATGATTATTTTAATTTTATTGTAATATTTTATTATACATCTTTTTTGTAAAAAGTTGAAAAGTTATCTCAGACACACATTTTCTTTTTTTTTACTTTTTTAGCTAAAAAGTCAAAAAATACACTTATATAATACATCCCAAACAACCTTGTATCTGTAATTATTATGTCCACATCTTATATACGAATAGAATTTTTTAGGTAGCGTTGGATAGAATTTTAGAATTAGAATTTGATAATAGAGTTGTATTTTGAGTTTGTAAATTTTGAAATTATGATTTGAGTATGAAAAATTTGGTTATGCGTTTTGAAGAGAATTTTGAATTGAGTTTGAAATTTTTTATATGATATATGATATTTAATTCAAAAACTTACAACTCATAGTCAAATATATAATTCAAAATTTTATTCAAAACTCATAAAAATATTTTTAAAATATTGAAAAATATTTTTTATTTAAAATATAAAAATAATAGGTGCAAAAAAAAAAAAAACAAACAAACAAACAAACATTGTTCCGGTCAACTAGTTGGACGACCGACTGGGCATTGGGGAGGATAACCGGGTAGATGTGTTTTCAAAGGTGAGTGTGGAATCAATTTTTGAAAATTCTAATCAACCACCACACTCAAACCAAGGGATGGAATTGAGTTTCGAAAGCCTTACCAAACATAGCCTTAATTTTTAATTAGTCAACGAGTTAGCATGGGTTAATTTTATTTAAAAAAATTAAAACCATATCTCATCCGTAAGTTCAAATCTTATGGGTCAAAATCAAATTGAACCATTTATATATTTTTTATTAGACTTGTATTATTAAATTCTACATACTTATTTTTTCTTTTTTAATAATTTACATGATCAAATTAATTAATACTATTAAAACAATTAAATTAAAGTATAAGTTTATTAAATTAACAAATTATGACAATATTATATATAAAAAGTTGAGAATTAGAAAGATATCAGTTGGCATTGTCAGATTTAATTTTAACAAATTATGTTTTGTGTATTTTTAAAGTATAATTTACAAGGATAATATAGCCTGTCAAATTTTTTTTTTTAATAGAATAGTTTTGTTTTAATGTATTAAAATTAAATTTAACAGAATTATTTTATTTTTTTTGAATAATATATATATATATATATATTAGCATATACCCGTACCTAAAAAGACGATATAAATAAACATTTCTCCCATTCTTCTCCTCATTATTACATGCCAAGAGGAACTCACCTTTCTCAAACTACCTAAAACTCTCCTATTCTCCCTACCAATAATGGCAACAAAGCTATAAAAAAATTAAATTCAAGATTGCAATTAAAGAAAGGCAGTCACCATCATTAAGCATATCCTAGAATCATAATAATGGCATTCCACGAGGCAATACAATGAAGTATTAACATAATTACCATACATTCAGCATCATTAAGTATATCCTAGAATCATAATAATTACATTCCACGAGGCAATATAATGAAGTATTAACATAATTACCATACATTCAACATCATTAAGTATATCCTAGAATCATAATAATTGCATTCCACCAAGGCAATACAACAAAGTATTAACATAATTACCGTACATGTAAAACTACTGTAGTTTTCACTACCCCTACCAATAATTGCAACAAAGCTATAAAAAAATTCAATTCAAGATTGCAATTAGAGAAAGGCAGTCAACATCATTAAGCTAATTGCAACAAAGCTATAAAAAAAATTCAATTCAAGATTGCAATTAGAGAAAGGCAGTCAAGATCATTAAGCATACCACAAAATCATAATAATTGCATTCCACCGAGGCAATACAATCAAATATTAACATAATTACCATACATGTAAAATAACTACAGTCTTCAATACCCAACTAATTAATCAGCAAAAATTAACAAAGAAAACACAACAAAACAACACCAAATCAACACAACCGATCGAACAAAACTCCAATTTACCCAGCTAAAGCTGGTCGCTTTTGCTCCAGTTGGTCATCGTCACTGCCCTCCAAATTCTGCTTCCCTCTACTCATAGAGTTCATCCTCTCCATGGTCTACATTACCTTCAATTTGTAGAACCCCTCAAAATTCACAGATCTGTAACACAAATTTCCCCAAAAAAAACCCAAAAACCTTAACAATCAAACACACAAGGTTCCTGTTCACAGATCTACAAATTTAGCTAGAAAATGAAAAAAAGTGAGAGAAAGTAATAGTAATTGAAGGATTGGTGATGGTCCAAACACATATCTATATATGCATGATTGAAACCAAAATGAAATTAAAAAAAAGTAAAATAAAATTATTCAACAACAAAGAATAAAGCATTATTAGCTAAAAATATAAATATAATACAGATTGTGAACTGCCTTATCCACCCCTTTCAACTGCACTGAAATGAGACCCTCAATACCAAGCCAAACCTTTTTTCCCCCTTACCGATAGCATTTCCAAAACAGCGTCAATCTGCTTCTAGGCTTGACAGATACAACAATCTGATTTGTCAAGCTTCCACAAAAGATTCCCTAGATTGGGATGGTGATTCCGTGCCATAGTTCTTTCAGCTCACCTTCAACCAGACCCAAGATAACAACCAACCCTAAGATACAAAAAAATTAAAATAAATCAAAACAGAACACAATTCCAGAGGTCTCTCTCTCTCCCCAACATTTTCTCTCTATTTTGAAACTGTCATTTCCTAATGTATACCCTTCAAAATCAATCAAACAATAAGTCATTAAAAAAAAAAACTCTCCTTTAAAAATATCATCTCTTCTATCATTACAATCTGCTTCTCCTCAAATCTTCATTGCAAAATCAATAAAACGTTATGATCCATTGACAAACTCTCTCTCACATTCTTTCTCTATCTATAATTACATTTTGATATCAACAAAACAGAACACATATTTTGAAATTGTCATTTCCTAATGTATACCATTCAAAATCAATCAAACAATAAGTCATTGAAAAAAAAAAACTCTCCTTTAAAAATATCATCTCTTCTATCGTTACAATCTACTTCTCCTCAAATTTTCATTGCAAAATGAATAAAACATTGTGATCTATTGACAAACTCTCTCTCACCTTCTTTCTCTATCTATAATTACATTTTGATATCAACAAAATAGAACACATTTTTTGAAATTGTCATTTCCTAATGTATACCATTCAAAATCAATCAAACAGTAAGTCATGAAAAAGAAAACTCTCCTTTAAAAAAAAATCATCTATTCTATCATTTCATTGCAAAATCAATAAAACATTGTGATCCATTGACAAACTCTCTCTCACCTTCTTTCTCTATCTATAATTACATTTTGATATCAACAAAGCAAAACACATGAAGCATTTGACCCCCTTGAGGTCACTCAGTATACCTTCATTACCAAAAAGAAATGACAATCTCTGACTTAAGAAACCCTCCTTTCTATTTACATTACATTAACAAAACAATTCACACCTTAATTAAATGTACAAAATAGGTAAAATAGAGAGTAAGCCATTGAAGGATTCAAAATAAATAAAAGAAGGCACAATATAGTAGATTAAATAAAACAAAGTTGAGAGGTTAAATTGGGAAAATGTAGAGTAGTGTAATACAATGTCAAATGGCAGAGTCGCACTTCTTAGATTTGTGACGACCACCGATTCTTCCCAAAGCGTAACTAATGATCTCTTGGTTGAGTCGAATTTAAACAACCATAAAAGATGCTTGTTACGTCCCAAGTAATATACAACAGACAAACCTAGCCAAAAACAAAAATAGCCATCAGCCATACTATACAACAGCTGAGTTTGAAGGAGGAAATGAGAGAATACTGAAATTACCTTGCGAGTGCGAGTTCGACCAAATACAACAGCGACTGTAGGAAATTAAAAAACAGAAGCCAAACAAATATGCTTGCAAGTTCCAATATCTACTAGTCAGTTATCACATCAATTTCAATCTACAACATGTTTTTGTAACTTTTAAAACCCTAGGCACAAAAGCTTAATTTAAAATTTCATGGACAACATTGAAAAATTCTCTCTCTCTCTCTCTCTCTCTCTGAGGGATGAGATTGTATTCATGAAATTGAGGAATTAAGAAGAGTTTACAATTCATGACATAACTAATAAAATTAAAAGAAGGTACAAAATTTGATATGAGCAAAGAGTAAATTGGGCCTTTGGATTAAACAGTTTGGGAGTAATAAAAAAATGTTCTATTTTTAT